GCCAAGCCCTAAACCCAACAGGAAGTCCGTTATGTTGAAAAACCCCTGTGACCCGTCCATCGCCGCTTGCGGCTTTAATTGGATTTTTGTGACTTCCTTGAACTGCCAGCAAAGCTCCACCCACAGCAGACTTGTGAAGGCATCTTGAAGGTTGACTGGAGCTTTAAATGTTTCTCATTAAGTGTGCATCTCACAGGAGGGTCAGGGTTAAATGTTTCAGATTGCGGTATTGTCTTCTAGTTCAAACTTTGATTGTCAGAAATAGCACAGTTTAAATATATGTCAGTGCAGGTCAATGAGCTTCCAAACTGTCTGCAAATGGACACAAAGTGCAACAACAATCATGAAATGCTTGGTTTCATAATAAAGTTTATTCTATATTACAAATAGTATTTTGTTCTTGACTGCAAAATAGGAATGCATTATATTTACATACACAGGTATACAATTAATTATAACAAAGTTAGAGAAGCTCGCCTTATATCCCCCAGGTTTCGTTTTTATCTCTCGATAAGATACTCTTTATCTTTCAAATATGATCTAGTAAAAGTCTTTTCTAGCATGTTTGTGTAACACCTGCTATAACACTGAGCTAGGAGGACATTTTTAGTTCCTACAAAACGTTTGAAGGTGGAAACTTTATCTGTGCTCTTGGCAACACAAGTTGGCTACTAGCAGACAACCTTTGTTGCAGGGGAAGGGACGGGGCAGGGAGAAATGAAAGACAGGATGTAACACTGGGGGGCAGATTCACAATGACAGTTGAGGACTCTCAGCTTGTGTTATTTATTAACACACAGGGAAAAGGGGAACTTTGGGTTTCTAGACACAGAGTACGTTGCCTACACAAGTGAAAGATGTGTCCTTACAATTATCTAAAGATGTTTCAATCACGTTTTGTAAAATGTGAATGCCAGTTAATGGGATCCAAAACCAATCCTTAATCCCCTCATTTTTTTTAGAAACAGGTATTAATGTATTTGATATATTTACTACATAAAATGTAGAAAACACTTTGTGAATGTACCCCTCCAAGTTGAAACAACACACATTCATCACACTGTAGAGCTGCAGAAGGTAATAATTAACAATGACTTGGACAGCTTACATACATTTGACACAAGGGCTATGAAAGAAACTTGCCAAACAAAGTCTTAAACATAAGTTTACTGTCAATGCTAATGTGCCTTTCCTGCTATGTTTACCTGCACGATAAATCACATGTGTATGTACTTTCATCCAGGTGTTTTTTTTTTGAAGACAATAGAAAGGGATTTGTGTCACACATGTTGACAAACCGATGCAGTAATTGTTGCTTTTTATGAAATGAACTTTTGTCGAACCGCATCTGTTTGTTTTCATCAGTGCCCATCTTTTGTTATTTGAAAAATCACTCAAAATGTTTATTTTCTGTCCTGGGCTCAACTGATAGAGAAAAAAAAGTTAAGCAATTATCAAGATGAAATAATCAATCTAATGCAGTAGTCAACTCTCAAAACAAGACGTAATAGCAGCAAAGACAGAACAAGACTTGAGTTGCAACTTCTGTCTACCAAAACTAAAGCCACAGAGGAGGCACAGCTGTCACAAAACACTGATGGTCTGTAATGAAGGACAAGGTAAGTGGGACAGGAAATTCAAAATGAAGTTCATGTTGTCTTGATGTGAGATCCATGAGCTGAACTGAAAAGTGGGCTTTTAAATGACCTTAAAGTCCCTAGTAGTTGTAGCAGTATATAAATATCTTTGAGCAAGGCAGTTCCATTTCATACCATCCAAATAGGTCAACATGCAAAGGTATATAATATCTGTTTTATTTAGCATCTATCACTTCACAAAAACCATGGGGATGAGACTCTGCAGTAAGGGCTGAACTGGATAAAGGTTCCACCTTAAACGAAAGTTATAGTTTTTATTACATGAACAATCCACTTTTTCCATCTCGATTCTTCCAAGCAAAAGAAAGATAAAAGAACACATCCACATCATCATTGCAAGGCTTAATTTTCTTATTTTTCACTTTTTTTAAATAAGTTTCTTAAATTGTTTACGTTTTACATGCGCTTAAAAAGCCAATAAAGGACCCAAGGTGGACCTAGGGCGGTCTTCACACATTCACATCACCACATGGGGCACGTTGTCAAGGCAAAAGAAAGGGCAGAGGTCAAAAGGTACGGAGGGCGCCTCCATCATCTCTTTCAGTCGCTCTCTCCCATAGTGGGGGTTCACATCCAACAAGTCTTATCTACTGGTAATGTCCATCATTTTCTGTTTGTCTTGCTGTGATGCTCACTTCTTGCTCTGCTTTGTCAGATTTTTTTTTTTTTTCTTTTTTTTGAGGCTTTGGAGAAGGCCGCCCCCTGCCGCCACTGAGGACAACTACACTAATACAGACAAGAGCGCCTCAACAGTTACACACTCAAGAGTTGGGGTTTTGCCGTATGCAACTAGCTACCATCTCCAACGCTTGTGCAAAACAGAAAAGAAACTGGTTAAGTCAGGAGCCGGACAAAAGGGTGAACGGTGTGCCGAGAGCCGGAGAGACCCGGGACGATGGAAAGAGAAAGGAGGATCAGATCACCTCGCCCACAGAGCCTCTCTCCTCGACACACTGAGGTCAGAAAAATCACACAGGTTTCTTAAAGTTCCAGTCACAATATTTTTTTTTTTGTCCTAGAAGTGGTTGTCTTATACATAGTCCTTTTTTTGTCAGTTCCTCAGTGGCACTTTATAAATACATTTTTGACCATTTTGAAAATTTCAAGCTCCTTTGGTTTTTGGCTGACCAACTAAGTCCATCTCGTTTGATTTCTCCACACAAAAGTCTTAAAATAAGAACATCCTGGGGAAGAAGTGCTACTCTCACAACAGAGCCCCTTTAGGTAGCAGTCAGCCGTTTCTGGCTACACTGTATTGAATCATTCTTTTTTTTTTTTCCTTTTTTTTTTTTTTTTTTTACTGATCAAGCAGTTTCTTACCCAGTGCATTTCAGTCAGCTCTTCCCTTTACCTCCTCCAGGGTTGGCGTAGATAAGTGGGCAGTCAGGATCTCGGGCAGCTGCTGATTGTGTGTGTATCTGTGCATGTGTGTGCTTTGATAGACCGTCGCAAGTGGCGACACAAGATTGGAAGTGGCAAGAGCCAGGCAAAGACTGCTCCTGGTGTTTGGGTTAGCAGTCAAAACATTGTCTTCCAGAGTTGGTGGTGTGCTTTTTACAAAGGATCCAACTTGGGTGGGGGCTCCAGGGTTTCTCCTAATAGCTTAAATTTGCAGTAGCCATATAAGCCAAATGGAAGCAGAAATAATGAGCGTTTTCTTAAATGTACGCTGGGCAGGTAAAAATGTGTGAATGTTGCAAAGGGCTATAGGCTGGGGATGCTCTGGTTTGTAAAGTTTTAGTGTCTGTCTCGTTTCAATAAAGGAAAAGTTCAGAGAAGCAATAATCCTTCCCTACCCCCACAGTCTTTTTTTTTTCTTTTTTTCTTTTTTCTTTTTAAATACAACTCCAGCTACATTGAAAGAACACAAGAACATTCTAGGTTTGCCTGGACTCGCCCCAGATTTCACGGATATGTATGCTTTGCTTGAAGGTACAGTGTAAACTTGGCAAACCATCCTTGCATTAATTTTCTTCAGAGGTGTTCATTTGGCTTGCAGTCATCAGGTTTGATGTTTCCACTTGATTCCGTATATTGAATATAGCACTACAATAAACTGAACTCTAGAGATGGTTTTATTTTAACTATCCTATTCTGAAAAGTTCTCAACAAAATGGACACCCAACATTGTGGTTTTTAAAGAATTACCTATCAGTGTAAATTCTTGAAGGCAACATAAAAATGTTTTTTCCCCTCTTTTCTTCCAGCAGGGGGACTGAAGTATGCCAATATGGCCAGCTTTCAAGCAATCGCCCCTTGAAGCTCCCCCTGTGGTGAAGCTGAGGGATTCCCCCACATTGCACTGTAGGAGACACCAGCCTCAGCCCCGGACCACCCCTCACATATATTCAGGTAAACTAGTCTATGCAGCAGAGTGGATGAGGAAAACTAAATATTTCTCGGGGAAGAGGAAGCAGAAAAAAGGTCAAGGAAGAAGTCATCTCTGAAAGGCGGAGGGAGGAAGTCACATGATGAAAAAGATGGGGACAGGTCTTCGCTCAGGCACGGCTCGGTTTCTGACGGGGTCTCTTCCCAGTGCACCCTGGGAAGTGCGGTCCTCAGCTCTCCAGACTCATGAAGGCCACCACCTGCTCCAGCTTAAAGGCCAGCCTCTGTTTCCTGGCTGCATCGTCCTGCTCCAGTGAACACACAATCTGCCAGCAGGACAATGAAGTAAACACAGACACACAACACCATTAGTGAAAGTACTCAACGTACCAAAACAGCAGTCAGTACTTTCAAATCTGGTTTATGACTATTACTAGGATATTTCTGTGTATATTGTCTTACTTAATAGTTCTCATACACAGCACTTCTGTAGAAAATGGAACATCCTGATGACACTACAGACTGTACCGACTAAACTCTGAAAACAGTTGAAGGAACAATTCACTTACAAGCCAGCTTTTGAATACCAAATACTAAATCCATATAAGCTTGAAAGGTGGCTATGAATTGTAGCATCTTCCTTGTGGAAATTGAGAGTGCACTGAGTGGAGAAATAAATATATTTAACTTGGATGATTAACAGTTTTCTATCAGCATTCCTCTCTAGTATCACTTGCAGTAGCAGCGTTTTCATTAGAATACATTTTATACCCTTACATAGCTCTCTATTATTACAACCTGTTCCTCTTGACTGAAATAGACGGCACACAACTGATCCATTTAGTGCAGAAAAAGCGTCATAACGTGGTAAACGTTCCCTTTTATGTGAGTGCACACAAAGTCTGAAGAAGAAGGCCTGAATTAACAAGTAAAGTTAATAACCACCGTCGTGATACCTATTATCTCTGCTGGTAGTTTTAGCTCTTGTCAAAGAAAGCCTGGCGATGTCAGATTGCTTTATAGTCAACCCCTTTGCAAAAAGATTTCCCTGCCAACTTGGAGGGCAGAACCATTCCCAGGAACAGAGCAATCAAACAAGTTATTGGTGAGGCAACAATTGGTTGGAAAGCACATTTTGATGTCTTTTTTGCTGTCTGACTGAATTTTGGGATGCTCTGTAACTTGCTCTGAATCCCACCTGACTACAGCTGCTTTTCAGAGTCGTCTTTCAAACCAACAGAGGGCATTTCATGAATGAAAATTCAACAAAAGCTCTAACTTTTTAAGAATCCTAATTTGTCAGTTTGATTTCCGTAATGTCTAATATTTTACCTGTCATAATCCAGATGTTATTACACTTGCCCAAGTCAGTTTCAATTTCAACAATTTGACTGGCACAAGAAGCCTCAACAACGAGTGATTTGTGGGATTTGTTTTGCCCTGGGCTTTGCCTCGCGGGCTGCATACAGGTTAACAGTCTGGTGGAGCACATAGGACTCACTGTTCTATCAAATGCCATTGTAGAGTCAATGAATTATTAATACAGGAATTTACATAGAATTTTAAATGATTTTGTTGGCTGCAATTATTTAGGAAAGCACCCAGTTTATTTCCTACACCTGTGTAAATTCGGAATTATTGGAATTTTCCTTTCCTTCCAACCAAAAATCAATTACAACAGCCTACAGTGTAGCAGATCTTAGTCAGTGATGACACTAATGTGTTAGCGAGAAGTGAAGTAAGTGTAAGTCACAGCATCACGTACCTCCTCAGTGTATTTTCCAACGTAGGAGTAAATCTCACTGAGAGAGCTCATAGTGTTGAACTCATTCATGTGCATCCGTGACTGTTCTGCCAAGTAGGCATTCATGTCCTGGTCACTGATCGCTGGCATCTTGCTAATGTCTGAGTAGTACCTGTTGAAAGAGGGCAGGAGAAATAAAACAAAGCATTAAATGCTTGTTACAAATATGTTTACTGCAGGGAGTGTTGTTAGGAAAACTGTTTAATGATTTGGAAAATAGAATACAAGCAGTTCTGTGTTTTAATGTAGATGTTTTCCTTGGAGCTCATTACTCCTTGCAGTGGTTTATGGCAGGTCTTTGAAGATATATAACTAATGCTTGTAGCGCAGAGGCAACAAGTGTGTTTCAGAGTACAGTGACTGAAATGGAGTCATCATAGACGCTGAGAGGCCTCAGATTTCAACCTGAAACACCACAGCAGCAGACACACATGCTGCATTGAGGTAAAGGCAATCAGTCACTGTCAGCAGCAGCTGTGTTGCCCATATCAACTATGTTAATTAAAGCTGCTTATTTACATATTAAATTCCTGTAGCTGCAGCCGCTTGAGGACAGGCCTGGTGTATGGTTGGCTAATTCTGGGAGTGTGTGAGAAAAGAGATGATATTTGCCAGGAAACAAGTCTTCGGAGCAAACTGAGCAAAGGCAAAGGCAGGTGGGTGTTGCTCACAGAGGTCATACCCGTATCAACACCTGTTCAGTGCTGGAAGGCAGTTATAGGGAGCTCCTAGCAGGGGACTGCTGGTGCAGAGACCAGGTGTGCTTGTTTAGGAAATGCTCTTTTATTTACTACAGCTAAAATCCTATTCTTTGTAAAGGCCTTCTCGACACAGTTTTATCATACAGTTGTCTGCTGGTCTGAACTGTTGCTATATTGAGAGACTTTGTCAGTCAGAGTATTTTAACAGGCATATCAGTTCCACACTGTCTGCAGTAGGTGTGTGTCAGCTGTGATTTTCAGACATTCATGCTTCCCGCAGTTCCACTTCAATCAATATAGCTGTGTGTGCGAGGATAAAGTGCCGGACCAAAGCAAAACAGTAACTCTGAGACCAATTTGTGAAAGTATGTCTTCAGGTTGTTGTTTCATCTGTCATCAAAAAGGCTTGTTCAGTTTTAACCGACTGGAGGGCAGTCCCAGGCATTTAAGCTCATGTAGAGTTGCTAGCACCTTGACAGTTGTTGGGTCATTAGGGTCCCCAGAGTCAAAGTGTGAGGAGGTGTCAAGTTGTCCAGGGAGGGATCTCAGTGCAGCATTTTAAGTAGCTGATAAGTGGTGTCGTAGGCCGCCTCCTCTGTTAAGTGATGGTAGATCCAGTTTCACATAAATGGCTTCTTTCTCTCCTCTTTTGAACCATCGGTCTTTCATGGTGAAAATGTGAACATTATTGTTCTCAGTGTGTGTCCCTAGTCCTGCAGATGTAGATGGACTGCTGCATGTTAACCTGAGGAGTTGGTCCTCCTCTATTGTGTCATGTGCATGTGAAGAGGTTTGCTTTGTTTCCACAGTGTATAGGTCTATACATTCCCCACTGCATTGAACGGTGCTCAGTTGTCCTTATGCCTGGGTGTTTTGACCTCACACTGGTTTCTGCCTCAGTGTGTCTCTGGGCTTGAAGTGCACAGTGATGTGTTGTTGGTTATTCCTTATGTTCCAGAAAAACTTGGGGGGATCTTGAACAATGTTGCTGCGGAGATCAGTCTTTTCTTCTCTGTCTGTCCTGTGTCTTTCTGTGGTTTTGACAAAGGCCCAATTTGAAATACAACGTGTTTAGAAGTGCGTGTGTTCCTTCTCCTTCCCCTCTGTCCTTATGGACATGTTTGGAGGACGATGGTGCAGGGTTCTGATAACCTCTAGCTTCTGCTCCAATATCGTAAACATTTATCTGAGCGTAGGTTTTCTGTATACTTGTATACTGTATACCTGTATACTATACGTGGTGAAGCTTCTGTCGAGGAATTGGCCAATCATCGAATTGGATAGTCTGCATTTTTTCCCAAATATCTATTTAAAAAATGTTTTTAAGCCATTTCCTAATATAACCAATTTTAAAATGCACTATTTTAGCTCTGATATAGCTGCCTCTTGCTACCTGTAGTCGGTGGTTTTCAGCAGTGTCCTCCTGATTGAGTAACAGCCTATTCCGACTGAAGGATGAATGTTAAAAAATTCTCTTTTGCCTCCACATATGCAAAACATAAAGAAACAAAGGAAATTCAACAATGATTTGTGTTGGAGTTTGTGTTATGCTGAATTTTGATACCAAGATTTGAACCAACTTGGTATATTGTCAGAGGAAACAGCATGGCCTTTTGAATTGGGTGGCGAACATTGACAATGACGAAGCCTAAAACATCAAAATATACAGAGACCCCACACACAGATCAATACTTAATATACTGAAGCACAAGCTGGAGGTTATCAGAACATGTCCAAAAGAACAGAGAGAAAGAACAAAAAGCACAAAGACACCAGAAAAATACTTAAAATGTGTGATGCTTTAAACCGAACCTTTGTCAAAACCACAAAAAGACACGGAAACAACATTGTTATTCCCTACATTGCAGGAGTTTCTAAACTCAACCCCACATCTCTGCACTTTAGAACCAGTAACATGCTGAGACAGAAGCTAGTCCACTCTGAGGACAAAACACCCAGGCAGAAGAAGAGCGATGTAGTATATACAGTTCAGTGCAGTGAGGAATGCACAGACCTGTATGTTCTGGAAACAAGACAACTTCTTCATAAGTGCCACACAGGAGGGCCAAGCCTTCAGGTCAATAATCAGTAGTTCACCTACATCTAAAGGACAAGGGACACTCTTTGGAGGACAACAATGTTCACATTTTGGCCAGAGAAGAACAATGTTTTGAAAAAGGAGTCACAAAAGCCATTTATGTCAAACCAGAACAACCATCGCTTGACAGAGGGAGTAGTCTACAACACCACTTATGAGCCACTTACAATGCAGTTCTGAGATTCCTTCCTGAACAGCTTAACACATATTCACACCTCGACTCAACGGACACTCGTGACTCACGTGATGGCCGGTTGGGTCAATGACTCTCAAGGTGCGAACAACCATAAAAACCTGAGACTCTCCAGTGGTCAGTTAGAACTGAAGAAGTCTTTAGAATGAGAGATGAAACAGAGGACTCCCCCAATTTCCTCGCACTTAAAGAGATAGCTTGGTTTCTTTGAAGTGGGGTTGTATGAGGTGCTTATCCATTGTATTACCTCCAGCAGATAAGAGTCAGCATGCCCCCAGTTTGGAGAAGCAAAACCAGAGGACTAGCTAAGAAGCTAAGCAATGAACTGTTGCAGACAGGGGAGCACAAAACATATTCTAGCCACCTAAAAGTATAATACCCAATGCAATGTACGCTCTATTTAGAATATTTCAAGGCTATTGCTGCCAGACAGGCCTTTATAAAAGGGAACTGAAGCATTTTTATTGCTCTATGCCTACTCGAAAGCCAACAGACTCTATTGACAAATAAGTAATTTTGTCTTGCAGAAAAAAGGATTTGCTGCTCTACCACTGTCCTGATTAGTTAGGTTGTGTTGTTTCTACATCTTAGTAACAGACAACTCCTGCATTCTGCAAAGTAAAATTACCATCTTTGTCAACAGAGTCTGGTGGCTATGAAGAGACAGATATAACTACATCAGTTCAGTGTGGAAAGGGCGTACATTTAACCTGGTTTTTGTCTTTGCTGGCTAAAATACGTTTTGTTGCTGACCGCATCCATAGCAGCTGACCTGCTAGTCCTGTCTGCTTCTCCAAACCAGAGGCACGCCGAAAGTCATCTACTTTAGGTAACACACTGATATGGATAAGTTCCTCATACAACCCCACTTCAGAGAAACCAAACTATCCTTTAATTGTGTTTGGAACGCTGCATAAACACACTGCAGATGGAGACACACAGGACTGAGTGCAGTCCTGAGCCTGAAGCTCCTTATTTGGTCCCACCTATTCAAGCAGGGCACATATATTCTCATCCTGGAGCTTGCTTTGTGATGACGCTCCAGCCACATAAATACTCTGAACCACTTCACAGAACCCCATCTTTTATTCAGGACCTCTTCGCCTCCGTTCCTGACAAATAAATTTAATAAAACTCCCATTTTAACAAATTACCGGCTTCTGCTGCCTGCAACTCTCAAAAATGCTTTCTCTCTTTTTTTCCCCCCCACACACATCTGTGAGCCCTCCCAACACCGACTCCTCTGTACTGTAGACCTCATGCCCTAGGCACTCCCATCCATTCCCACTGTGTTGTAATTTGGATTGGGTTTCACAGCTCATAGATCACAGGGCTGCAGTCGCATAGTGTGTTTTGAAATGAAACATAGCTAATGCACATTTTCTGATGGTCATCTCTGTCTTCATCTATCCAGTGACTGGTGTGCACACACATGCGCTTTCATCGACAGCTCACCTCTCCACCCAGCTCTTGTAGCTGGGGATGTCCTTGGCATAAAGCAGCTTGTTGGAGGGTGAGTCTTTCCCAAGGCGGTGTTCTGAGGTGGAGCAGGAGTCCATGAAAGTCTGGGCCACCACAGACAGACAGGCATCTGTGATGCTGCTCTTATGGATGTCGAACACAAACTGGGGGTTCTTGATCACATTCACCCAGAAACGCAGAGGTAGGCTGCACAAGGGTAGAAAAAGAGAACAAAGTAGTTTAGTGACAAACTAATACAACCATAAAAGTGTTGCAGCCAATTTCTATTCAAATTTCCTAAAGTCCATTTTAATGTCTAATATTTCCTGTTCTAGAAATGCTAATGTGGGATGCTTGAACTCATCTCACCGCAACTGAATTTGTAGTTTAACCTGTAAACAAAACAGTCTTAGAAAAAAGAGCTAATTAGACATGTTAATGTCCTCTGTGTTGTGCCTTCTGTCATTAAAATTACTTGTGCATTGATTGTTCAGTTCCATCTCAGTGACAGAATGCTCAAATAGCCATTCAAACTGAGCAACAGAGAGTGTAAAGTAAAACAACAGTTTGTGTCCCGTTGAACTGCTCTGAGATTAAGTCCCTAAATGCCATTTTCAAATTTGCTACAGCCAGCTAGTCAATAGGCATGAAGATATTATTCGCCAGAAGGGACGGGGATTCATTCACTTTGCAAAGCTAGTACACAGGCCCTGCTGTTGCTGATGTGCTCTATTTGATGTGTGTGCTCAATTCAATAAAGGCTTTATCTTTAAAGCCAGGTGGTTGCTGGCTCTCATTTTTTTTTTAGCAGTGTCCAGGGGTCCTCGCTGGGGGCCGCACAGTGACACAGTTCATATTGCCTTGTTTGTGCAAGTGGGTCCTATTTTGTGCCTGTCTAGAATAATAAAAATATACAAGTCTGTTTATTTGCTGGGCTTGTTTCTGCCTAAATGAATAGATATTGGGCCAGCTTTATCTGTGTGCTGCAGTGAAAGGGGCTCAGGTGGTATTAAGAAAGAGCTGAGTGTTACTTGGAACTCTGTATCTTTCCTATTCTCTGGGCTATGCACTTTTAGCTGATGTGGCAAAAATCAATCAGGAAAGACATTGCGGTGTAGCCTACACAGGAGATTCTATGCGTGGCACAATATCAAAGGATGAGGAGAAAATAACAACAAAAAAACCTGAAATGCAATCATTTAAAATACCAGCAGTGCTCCCCATGATCCCACTAAGCATTTATTCTCGCACAACCACCCATAAAGCCATTCAGATGTACAATCTAACAAAAGAGGATTTGGACTCAGAAAGGAAAAACTCTGCATTATGACTTCAAAATTAATCTAAGCAAAGAATCTAGTGGGATTAGGTGCAGGGATCAAAGGGATATTAACACCACTGCTGTGCTGCCTTGATTGTTGACAATCTGCTGTTTCAATGGTGCACCGGATGCTAAAATAATGAGGTTCCCCCACAATTTGGGGGGTTAAAAATGACCACATCAGCATTTACATATTCTCCATTGAAGACAGGCAAAGCATAGAATTTCTGCAGTTAACTCATGCTGAGTGGTTTTAGAAATCTGAATGATAGCCATGATCTGGCCTTTTGGTCAGGGATTAGGTTAAATATCAGCTGCCAAGATCAAGGGCATCTTTTATCCTAGAGGAATTATGCTGTCGGAGTCAGAAAAAAAACTTTTATTAAAAGACTATTCTTCTATCGATTCATGCCTGCAAAGTCGATTCAAACTGATAAAAGAAAAAGTGTGTTATAGAAAAATCAAACAAAAAAGCAGTACGTTTACTCAATAATGTAATAGGAGCTATTTATTAATACAAGCAACACTTCATACAATATTTACTGCAGCAAATAGTGTCTGGCACACCTTATTGCTCAGAGGAGGAATACAATGTCCATGTCAAAGGAGTGAGTATTCATGTAGTGTTAAAGAAATAAACAATAAAACCCTGCTAGTCCTCATCTCTCCAAGTAGGAAAGATTACCAACCAGTATTGGCAATACTTTGGAACTGTCAAAGAGGGAAACAAGCACAGGTCTGTTTACTGTCAGCTATGCTCATTGAAATGAAAAGCAAAGAGTCTTGCAACAGATCTTGTAGCCCCACAGAGCCCTGATCTCAACATCATGAAGGCAGTCTGACATTACATGAGACAGAAGCAGTTGAGCCAATCTATATCCACACAAGAACTGTGGCAAGTTCTTCAAGATGTTTGAACTACGGACCATACCTTGACAAGCTGTGTGTGCAGCAAGGAGAGTTACTGCTGCTCATAAGGCAAAGGGCGATCACACTAGATATCAATATGAGAGAGGATGATGTCTGTTTACCTAAAATGAAAATGATTATTTTTGGAAGCATCTTCACTTTACTTTTGACACCTAAGTCTCCATGTAGTCCCTCTAACTGTCTCCTGCAATTTGCACTGCTCAACACTTCTGGCAAACACAACTAGCCAGCGAGCCTCTACATCTGCAGATGTGGGACATTATCCCAGTTCTGCAGAAGGGCCCGATGCATTTGCTTGCCATTGGCAGGCAAAGGGTCACAGATGTTGTGATTTAGAGCATCCCACCGGAGGCATTACAGCACAGACGAGGAAGTGACCAAGCCTGACTTTTTTTTAATACAGGCTTGAATTAAAAGTCTCTTAAAGGTGACCCAACTGGGCATTGTTCCAACAGGGACGACGGTAGGCAGAAATGCACTACCTTTCAAGTGTTAGTCCTCTACTTCATAAGCTGTGTGTCTGTTGTAGTGGTGCTATTTACAGTCTGAGTACGACGGGACTGCAGTATGACAGCAGATAGGTGGTGATCTGCATGCAGAAAAGAGGAGAGTATGTGCCAGTTTTGCACAATAATTAAAATTCTGTCTGTTCCATCCCAACATGACAAACGTGCAGTGGAAGGAGGCAGACACACGCACACCCAATACAGAGGAGTGAGGATGGGAGCAGACGCTGACACACTGCCACTAATCCAAAAGATACCATCTGGAGATGCTCTAGGAGCCAGTGACTCATGTATGCACACACTTACTGTACACACATACAAAAGCATGTTACAATTCTGCCACACAATGCAGTAACAACTAGCTGATTTTAACTTTGCACCATTAAAATTTAGCTTGCTTCAAAAAACAGTGATATACGCACACATAGCTTGATGAAATAGGGGCAGAGGATGGCATACTGTGAGTACTATTCCCGTCACTTGACTGTTGTGAAGGATGGCTTGGATTGTAAGGGGTCAAAGATAACATCCTGGGCTAGAATAAATTCTGAATGCCATCTTTAGGTCTCTTTCAGGTCTTAGAGTGTGTGGATGCTGTGCAGAATGATGGAAATGTAATGCACAGCTACGCCAAAACAACTATTTTCTATAGCAGTATAGGTTATGCAAATCAAAACTTCTCCTTCAAAAAACAACAAAAAAATAACTATTGGTTAGTAGGTTCAATCTACAAATATCATGTCATAATGGTATAAAAACCAAAGTACAGGCTGAATAATAATGTAACACAAGGGTTTTATCAGGGGATATACTGATGGAAGGGAAACCCTGAAGGGGAGGTGGGAGTAGCGGTGGGGTGCTGCGGTAGAAGTTAATGGCGCGTATGATGACGATGGGACTGAAAGGTTTAATGGGATAGGGGCTCAGCTTGGGAGGGACACTGGTATTATTATTCTCTACCGTCAGACAAAATGAAGGCTTTTGTTGCGGCCAAGATTGCAGTCTTTTGAGATGACTGAAGGTTATGCGTAAGCACACACAGTGAGAAGCATAAAGACACAGGCATATGCGCATCCCACACAGAGAAGATATCTGTGGTGGCATCAGCACAAACTGTGTCCAATCGAAGTGGCTTTTTGTCAGGGTGTGTTATGATAAATTGCTATTCATTCACAGCCCTATAGTGAGAGCCCATTAAAAGTCTAATGTAAGAGCAACCCGCTGCGTTCTCAGAAAACACTTAACACACACTGCAAATGGCCCAATAATGCAGACACAAGAAATACCAAAATTAGGACCATTGAGTAAATAATATTTCTTCTTTACCCCCCTACCCAGTCCTTTCGCCATTTCTATTTGTCCCTTGATAAACATCAATTTTTCCTCCCATCTTCACGGTTCTCCTGGGCCTTAGGCTGAGTGATGCATGCTGGGATCTTGGCAGAGGCTGGGAGGCTAATGAGATATTAGTGTGCATTTAACTCCCACAGCGTCCACTTCCTTTTCTTCACCTTTTTATTTCTCTGCTCACCCCATTCCGGTTCACTGTTGGTTATTTAACCCCAACCAACCTTTTAAGGTGGGCTCACCGGGTCAATATGGACTAAATTAATCACCGGATATTAATTTAGAGGTGTACTTGTGCACCTGGGAGTGTACATTTGTCACTATAGAGATTTCCACAGTGACAGGCATTTTTTTGGCCCAGTTATCCATGATAATAGATGGAGAGTCTTGGCAGCCAATTGGATTAGCCCCTTGTGGTTGGCTTTAATGAAGATTACACGCCCCTGTGGTTAATGGATATTAGGAAGGGAAGAGGCGTGTGGTGAAACTTGGCACTGACAGGGCAATACCAGGGCAATGCCATGTAAAATGTGCCAAAATGTACTGGTTATGCCTGTAGTACATTAAACATCAGTGCAGAAATCAACCACCATGAATGGAGACGCTCTGGTGTACAAATGATAAAGTAAATATACATGTTCATCACAGATCTAAGTGACCACCTGAGGAATGTCGTAAGCATTCAGGACCAGAGCCCACTACATCTGAACTCACCAGTTGCTCTTCCATGTGTGTCGGACATGTGGGTCATGGATGTTGTGTTTGTCGGCCTGCTCGTCCAGGAAGTCAAACATGTATTTGATGGCCAGTGGCAGAGCGCTGCCTCGATGGGCCGTGCTGAAGATGGTCTCAAACAGGTCATCCACAAACTTCTGTAGTGTACCCTATAGAGCAAGGAGAGGAGAGATGAAAAAGCTTCAGTCTTTGGCAAATCTGCATTTTCGGTATGTTAATTCAGTGCTGCATCGATACTGATCAGGACGCACAGAACCAGCGAGTGAGATTGTCAGCATCTAATACATTTTGCAACACACCACTGACTCATGTTGACAGAAAGATTGCCATAAACTTGTATATTTTTTTCCTGTGTGAGTTTATGCGTTGTGCAGCGCATGTCACTTTGTCCCTTAGCTCCGATGTTTATGTGTCTGACTCCTATCTCGCAGACCCGGCCCCTAAATCTGCTTGCAGCTTTGATGGGGGAAATTGTTATTTCACAGCTGACTTTTAATAATATCTGGGAACAGGAGGCGCATCTTCTAAGCCTCTTTGTGCTGCCGGATTAGCTCCCACACTGCACCATTGACCCTAATTTGATTTAATGTTGGCGACTTTAAGAAGGAGGAGGAGAAGAGAGAAGAGAGACAGAGAGTGAGAGAATCTAATCCTCTTGTAAAGAATGAGCTGATGGGATGCACGGGAAAAGGCGAGAGCGAGGGATGGAAATGAAACGACAGAGGTTTCCTATCAGAAAAAGAGGCCATTGAGTGTGGCAGATGAGGTGTGTACAGGCAGTGGCAAATAAAAATCCAATTTGGGTGGAGCGGGTGACCGAAGCACAGAGTCAAGAGAGGTAGAAGAGAGTGGGAGGAGAGAATCCTGTTAGTCCGACAATCACGGCTATAATTCTAATGTGGCCCACATTCCCGACAGCTTATCGTTTTTCTATGAAGATGGAATCGCATATCTCTATATCAAGCCCACGTGCCTTCCAAGTGACAGTCTGCATTAGCTGCCAAGGGAATACCTTAACGTTTTGTGTGCGCATGCATACATGTGTGCATAGATACCAAAAAGCAGTGTGTGTACTTACAAGTGCTGAGGCTGTGACATTTTACGTCATCCTCTATCTCAAGGGGTGTACCAGCATCAACACTGTCATCATCACAGGGTTCTCTTGTTCCCTGGTGGAGCTAAAACTGCCAACACCAACCCCCCTCCTCGACCATCTACCCTGTCATTAGACTGCACTCTAAACACAATGTGTCATCTGGATGTTTTGATGCCGTCTGCCTCCACATTGAAATGCAAGGAAAGTAAACAATCAGAGCATTGGGGATGGCAATGAACCAGGGAGGTAGGGACAGACACACACACTCTGGAGTGTAAAAGTAAGGATTGAAAATGCAACCATTCCCAGTGCGGCTCCAAACATACGAACAGGTCCTGTACCCACCCTCAGAGTGTCACTGATGGAGCTAATATGAAAGGCGTCAGCAGCGTTGCCAGGGAGAGGTATTTATTGGCAAGGTGAAAGCCAAACACAGTCAATTACACTGCCTGTCTGCCCAATCATTTCTCACCAAGAGAGATGGCCAGCCAAGATAAACTGGTTATTTCACAAAAACAATCCATCTGGAAGGATGATGTGCTGTCTGCAGTCAGAAGCCACCTTCCTGCACTGTGAAACGGGATAAGGGCAGGGAAATAGAGCGACCCACAGAGGCCGAGAGGCTACATGTGTACATGTGTGTGAAGGTGTGTGGAGGATTTTACAATGTCGTGGTGACAGCTGCTCTATTTCCCCTACCATCCCTTTATTGTGCAATCATCAATTTTCTAGTTTTTCTGTTCTCTAGTTTCTTTCGTAAGTTCCTTCTTATCCTGTTTCACAGTCACTGTTACACTTGTCTTATTCTGATAATTAATCACTATTTGCTCATCTGGCCAAACATCTGCACAATCATTACTTTCCCCAAGAATGGTGGTATGGTAAGTATCTGAACTCTTTGGAATTACTTAATTAATTAGACATTGATCCAAGTTACAAGTGTAAACAACCAAATTTGCTCAAGCTAATAACACACTAAATGGTGTTCTTATTAAATACAGCTATTGAACATTCACAAAAGTGGTGGAAAAGTAAGTGAATCCTTGGGTTTAATAACTGATCAAATCTCTTTGGATCCATTTAGGAGAAATTTTGGACCTCTTTTTCTCAAAGAACTACTTGAGCTCAGCTGTATCTTGTGTCTGGTGTGAATGTCTCTCACAAGGTTATTTGTCAGTACTTCTGTTTGGGGATCTGATTGGGCTGCTCCAAATGGCAGATTTCTTAGTTTCAAGTCATTCTAGGATTATTTTACCTAAATGTGTCGGGTAATTATCCCGCTTCACCAACACTTAACTTCACATGCCAGACAGTGGCCCTGACATTATACTGTGACATACCTCACTGAACTTGGGAGTTAATTTCCCCCTCGATGGCAGCAAATTGAGTTTGAATCATGATGCTCCCTTAACCGTACGTCACCAACATGTTTTCATGTTGGCATGCATTTTTTTTCTTTTCTTTTTTCTTTTTTTAAATGCCATTCCTAGCGCTCCCTGTGCTTCCCAGACAATTCAACCTTAGCTTGGCAGTCCACAAAACATTTTTCCTGTGGTGCTGTAGAGTTCCAAGGTACTTTTTGGCAAACTTTGCAGTTTTTTGGGGAATAACGGCTTCTCATGCTCCATGTAACCATGCACCATGATTTGCATATGGTAAACTCATGAATAGAGATGTTGACCAGCTCTTGTGAGCCCTTTAAGCCTTTAGCTGTTACTCTGGGTTTCTTTTTTTTTCTTTCTTTTTTTACCTCACTGAGCATTTTGTGTTGTGCCTTTGGAGCCACCTTAGCTGGGTGCCCACTTCTAGGGAGAGCTGCCACAATACTAAATTGCCTCAATTTAAAGGCAATTTCTTTAACTGTGGACTGATAAGTATCTTAACTCTTTGAGATAGCTTGATTAAATCATTAATCCTTGATTAATAGTCTTCTCTGGAGAGGCATGGTGGAGAGCAGTAGATGCTTCTTATAAACAGCAAACTCTAAATGTTTGAAAGTTTTTTTTATAAGTCGGAAGTCGGAGTAGCGCCAACCCACACACCTCCAACGATGTTCCATTGATTGGACTAAAGGTTTGCTAACTCCTGACCTTCATTAGTCTTTGTTGTTGTCAGTAGTCTTGGCTTTTTTCCAACCTACGCTGTAAATGTTTGACTGATCTATTCATGTGTTATTAAAATTGCTTGTGTTTTGTCCACAACTGTATCTTTGAAGAAGATGTTTGTATAATTTAAGACAAATAAATGCAGATATTCTAAAGGGTTGACATACTTTATCTAATTTTGTGTATGCTTGTGGCTATATGATCAACAAAAACTACAAAGGCTTCACATACATACTCAGTTTAGATAAAGAGACAATAGGGAAGTGGAACAAACATTCTGGGTTTGTTTGCATAATACCTAGAGGTACTACATATATCAAAGACAGCTTGGACTTTAAAAACACACATCACGGATTAATGTTGCTTGTGATGCTATGTGGCAAATATCTTTCATGGTGTTTGCTCCTCCGCACAACACATTCCAGAACGGATGTTTTCATCCTCGTGTCTTCTCTTTCTATGCTTGTTTACTGTGCGTGAGACATTTTAGACTCCTGCCACTGTGCATTTATATTGCATACATAGAACTGAGCTAATGCTCTTTATGTGAACTGCCATACAAAGGCAGGCACTGGATCAAAAAACAAACTGAAATGTTCCTCCATCAAAAAATTACAGCCTGAACATTTTCAGTTCACAGCCTCCCCCCTTTCTTTTACCTTCCCTGTAAGCGTGTCTGCATCTGTGTCTGATAGAATGGCTGTCTCGATGAAAAAAGAGGGACAAGGTGCTTTAGGAGTGGATTGTTAATTTGCATTCAGCTGTTGGATCAAAGTCACATTTCCCTTCAAACCAAATTAACTGTATTTTTTTCCCTTCTTAGGGGCCATTGTCGCAAGGCACATTCAAAGACTCTCATTTTATAGCCATTTCTATTTTTGCCGGATCATTTTTTTATTACAGAAAAACCTTCACTAGATTCATGGGGTCTTTTCTTCTTTACCCTTTTTGATATGCTGCTGCATCAATGCAACAGTAATGAAAAAAGAAAACAAACAGAAATATCTATTTTCTCTTTCTTACCTGAGGGGATAGAGGAATACATTTGAATAATCTTTTCCACTGAGATGACTCATCCAAAGTACACATGAATATTTAAATAAAGTGAGGGATTTCTGAGTCATTAGAACATAGGGTGAAGGTTACGGTGACCTATTAGCCTTTCACCCACTGAGCTGCTTCTGGACATTTACGAGTTAACGATGGGACAAACTGTCTGCTGTTAGATCATGGGCAAACTGTTAGAGATCCAAATGCATGGCACATTTCACATGAGAAAGGGGTCGTATCTTGATTCGCTTCGAGCTAGTCTTGACTAGCTTTGGTGTGGTGTTGGTGAAAATATAAATACTGTCAAAGGTAGGTTTTCTTAAACAGAGGTGGCTCACCTTGGTAGCCAGAAGTCGCGTCAGGTAGATCTCAGAGACCATCTTGCTGCCGCGGTCGCCCTCCTTCTGGTCTCCATGCTCATGGTTCTTAACCAAGTGCCAAACCTTCACCCCGCTCTCCAGGTCAGGAGTGATCATAGGAGTACGGGAACGCAGGCTGTCAGGGCTTCCAGTGTACTTTATCATGTTTTCTGTGAAGAACAAAATCCTTTAGTTCATGCAATATGAATATAAATGATTGAAATCAAAAGGTCAAAGAACCACAGTGTTAGTGTTCTTTTAGCAACAGTCAACTTTACATTGGTTTGTACCTTCATACTGTGATATGCCAGTTTATGTTATTTACACCTGTGTGCATCTGTAAAGATGTGTGTCCTTACTAAATCTAAAACAGTCTCACAGCAGGCTTTTTGGCTAACAAAAAAAAAAGTTAGCAACAAAACAACAATCTGACTGAGACGGCACAAACAAATGAAAATGAGAAAAACACAACCATAGAGGCAAGGAAATCCATAACCTGCATGTCAGCAGCAGAATACAGTTTCTTGGCTTGTGGCTTCCAATTTACAGGTTGGGGAGATTGGATATGAAACTTTTACAAAGTCTGCATGGTTAATTTTTCATGGCTTCTTCTCCAAGTGACAAAACATGGTATTGCCAGCTGACACAAAATCGAACAGGTGTCAGACGAGATGAAATATGTATGGCCCACCCAATGGTCAGAGTGGCGATGACATTTCCAAACACATGGCTCAATGAATGTTTACACAGTGTGAAAAAAATTGATCAGTGGGTGCGGTTTGGAGAGAGGAGTGAAAAAAAAGAGTGATTTTCACTGTGACAGAAATCAATCTGTCCAGAGAGAAAAGCTGGAGGAGTGTTATGGAGGAGAGAGTCTTGGGGAGGAAAAAAGAGACAGCTGGAGACATCAGATACAAAGTGTGTGTGTGTGTGTGTATCGACTGCTAAAATTTGATTACAGTATGATCTACAAAAAATGTTTGTCTCTTCTATGAGGCCCACAGTGACGATATTTAACTGGAGCTTTGCTTTAAGGTCAACTGACCAACTGTTCTCTACAGGGCTGGAGATGTTTGTTATTTCAGGGTTACGAAACAAAAGTGACGCTAATTCCACTTCTTTTGAGCTTGTATGGGTGCAAGATAATGTTAGATTGGCACTTGTGTAAATGCAGATCAGTGCATTCCTTTCATGTTAATTATTTATTCAAGAAGATGGAAAACTGAGGGTGATGCAGAGTCCGGGATACACAGGAGAAAGATTTCTGGATCGGATTCTATTCTGATCCAGCTCCATGCACACAAGCTGTTTTTTATTTTTTTTTGTGGTGTTCTTTTTTTCGCCTTGTGGTTTCTGATGGAAACATTACATCAAAGATCAAACACAAAGGGTTCTCCTTTCATTCTCCGACTCAACATGTTAGACAGTGTTTGTCTGAATCTTTGAACTTTTTCTACAACTTTCTCCCCAGCTCCACCCTCCATCCGCTTCCTCTGCAGTTACATTAAATTCAGCCTCTTCTTTTTCTTTGTTATTTGGCCACTGTACTCAGGGAGAGTTCAAAGTCACTCTCAAGCACCACACAGTTGTGAAGTGCATCACACTTGCATTTGAAGTCAATCACACACACAAAAAAAAATAGTAGCGGGAGATAATCCTAGCATCTTCCCTCCGTGTTCTGTTGCACCATTCTCCTTGTCCTATCTGGTTTAATTTGGCACCAGAGAGGTGAGGTGAGACCATATGGAGATGAGGCGATGCTAATAATGTGGCAACACATTTGAAGTGTCTGAAGTGTTTGTGACCAGCGAGGCCAGCCTTTGATCAGAAACTAACTTGATGGTTTTGCAGGTTCAAGGAGATGTGGAGCAGACGGACAGGCGGAAAAAACACAGGCACACGGAAGGCTGAGAGGACACACTTTGGAGTCTCAAGAGGCCAGAACAACAGAAGAAAGAGTCTATTTGGTCTCTTTATATTTCAGAAAACCTTTCAGCTGCTCTAAATTGTGTCCTGTCTTTCTAGGTTTGTCACTGTTGACATGCAAGATCCTCAGGTGGGTGCATCCACAGCTGCGGGGTCAGTTAATGTCTACCTGTGTATTTTCCCCCTATTTCCTCTAAGAATCTTGTACTTTATAAAAACATATTTTATACTTTATCATTATGCATGTTTGACTGACTTCAGTGATTCACATTTTTGTTTTTTGAGTCAGATTTGCATGTCCTGGCAACTGGATGACACAAATAAAAGGGCAACTGCGACTTACTTTAAGGTGGAGTCTCTGAAGAGATGGTTGATGTTAAGCATATCTAGATAGTTGGTGTTGCCAGATTATAATTTCTTCTCTTTCCCCTAGCATGACTGAATGTGCACAGGACATACTGGAATGGTCACTTTGCTTGTTGCTTGTTTACAGAGCGAGGGGCTGTGTACAAAAACTAGAATTTGTTTTCAATGTGCACACAGAATGGACAGCGAGTCGACTGTGAGAAGACATTTGCTGAATTTGACAAAGTGTATTGGCTTACAATTGCATACTTCACCTTTAAATGTCACACAAAGGTCCAGGTTGGTGTTGAAATGTTGCACTTGTTTTATTTATATGCAGTATTATTATTGACATACATGTAATTTCTACCAGCTTAGCTTCTCTGTGACACATGCACTACTCAAACTTGAAGGTATACAGAAACAGGTCTGCTTACCATATTTACTTGCAGATGTTCGCGACACAGTAGAGTTGTTGACTGAATTGTAGGCTGTAACTTGCTTGGGAACCAGGGCCATTACAGCATTATCGGGTACCTGAACAAAAAGAACAGACTCATATGCATTACACAAATAATTAATAGAAACAAAAGACAAAAAATTGCAGAGCTTTTGTTTCATCGTTTGTGCGTAACGCAACTAATCGGGAAAAAAAACGTATATCATTGCGTTGGTGTCATCTTCTATATTTCACTCCATCTATTCTGGTTTCATGCGGATAAACGTAGAATATCTTATTACCCTTATGTGCTCCGTTCAGCCCACACATACATATGATGACTGACAGGGGGAGGGAGAGTTTAGCAGAGCATTGTAAAGGCCTGTGTGAGAGGGGACGTCCCACAGTCTCTATTCAATAATACCTTTCCTCTAGGGTTGGTGTGTGTTTCGAGAGCGTGTGCATGAAGATGTGAAGATTCAAGAAGCAGTGTGTGTGTGTGTGTGTGTGTGTGTGTGTGTGTGTGTCGGTCTACGTGTAAATAAGTGTGTGTAAATGAATGAATGAGTCAATGGTGCGCTCCTCCTTCTCCAGTCAGCCAAACAGGATTCAATTAACACAACCGGGATGGAGTCTGTCCCAGCTCAGACACACACACACAACCATACAAAGGATACCTCTATTCTGCATAATCTGGCTACCCATGCTGCAGGGTAAGGCAGGGTTAATTGAAGTGATCTTTATCATGGTGTGGGTGGATAGTACCGCAGGGGCTTTAGTCCACATATGTGTGTCTGTGTGTGTGAGTGAGTGAGAGAGAGAGAGAGAGAGAGAGAGAGAACCGGGGCATTATTAAGATTGTGTCATTATTTCACCCTGTCACTCAATCTGCTCCTTATGCATAATATGTTTATATCATTGTAAGCAGCAGGCCCACAGGGCAGCTTTTGTTATTCCTTTGAGGGGAGCCCCACAACTCTCCAACCACCTTAAGTATTCTCCCTGATCACTGCTCTTATATGTTCAATCGATATAGAACGAGCAAAGCACGGGGAAACATAATGAAATGTGAAAAGGAGGAGTGGCATTTGAGGAAATAAGATTTGGATAATAAAGGCAGAAAACAGAGCACAGATTCCTGAAAGAGAGGAGGCGGAGAGAAATGTGTCATTATGGGACAGAAAGATCAGATATGGGGAAATGCCAAATTTTTTGCTCGTAGCTACAATGTGATATTTTCCTGAGCAAGAAATCTAACTTTTCACTTAGGTTGTAAAGCAAACTGTCACATTGTAACTGAAGGCTGAGCGAGCGGGGGAGTTTGGCAAGTGGCGGATCACACCAGATTAGTGTAATAAAGGAGAGCACATAATTCTATTCACTGCGTCTGGTTGGTCATATTAGCCTCTGAAGACAAACAATACCAGTAAAATGTCTGGAGGACATACGAAGACTGAACGTAGCAGCACGACTGTGTTTTCAGGGGTGGTATAAATTCATAGAGTGCGTCAGTGGATTTTATTAGTGACACGGCAAGATTTATAAGTTTAACCCTTTAAATTTAAGCCACAGCATTTCAGTTAAATGAAGTCATGAATACAAGACTATAGAACTGCAGACGCCCTTGAATGAAGCTCGAATGTGTTTGTGGTGTCCCCTTCTGTTCCAGCTCTTTGCTTAGCCTCCTGACAATTTCTGAGTAGATGGGAGTGTTTTTTTTTTTTTTCTTCCTTTTTTGGTCTGTCAAGGACGAGGTGCCCTTATTCCCCGGCCTGAAAAATGAATTAACTTCTGTCTTCATTATCTTATCTCCGATTCGAATCAGCTCCCTAATCCATTCCACCCACGCCTCATACTCTCAGCCTGTTGACACTTGCTGCCGCTGACATTTAATTTAGGCACCACGCAAACTGCACTTGGAGAGGACGGTCGCTACATACTTAGCTGCTCGAATTATTAACACCATATTGACAAAGCAGGTCTGTCTTCCCATACAAAGTCGGGTTTTTGGCTGTACGGACAGACACAAAACACCTGCCGCTACGTATTGGTCTGTCATCTGCATAAATGCGTCCGTGTGATTGCGTGACACATCTTGGTATTTTGAGCATTTGTCTTCATTTGAATTTAAAATGATCCAATCTTCGTACTATAATTTCTACATGTGTGCATACAAATGGTGCTTCATATGCCTCAGACCAATGATGTGTGTCAACACTAATCAGTTTCAGGGGGATGACTGCACTTGGGGCAACACACTAGATTTTATCTCTCCCCCTCTTCCCCTCTCCTCACACAAAGGATCACTTCCAAGTGTCTCTGTATTGTTGGTCACTTCTCTGCCTCACCCTCTTTCATTCCCCTCTGCCTCACAGATAACCTATGGTACTGGTGTGTGAGGGGTGTCCTTGTCTTTTGAGTGCTTGCACCACTAAATGGCTAGAAAAGTGCTTTTACTGAATCCTCCATTATGTAGTAAGTTTAAGAGGAGAAGGTGGAGGTGAGTTTAGAGGGCGTCAGAGGCAACTTGATATACTACATACAGTGGAGGCGAGATGTGGTGAAGAAGAAAGAGGCTTTAACAAGTAAGCAAAATAAACCAAAACCGAATATCTGACATTTGTGGTTAGTGTACATTTTTTCCCTTAACCTCAACAGATGCATTTCAGGGTTGTTTGTATACCTTTGCTGTGAAGATGTTATGAAAACTCCTTTTTAACAGAAAGAGTTTCTGAAGCTCTCTTATTTTTACTTGCACTTTGAATTCGGAAAACTTTACACTTGAACAACACTGAAATCTTACTAATATATCAGTTTAACAGTTTATTTCTGCAAATGCTAATTTCAGAGATTAAAAAAAACAAAAAAAACAAAAAAAAACGTGCACACATGTCTACAGCAGTCCAGAAGAAAACATACTTTTACTCAAGTTCTTGAACTGGTTAATTATTTAGGCTTTTTTTCAGTTTAATGTTGGCCAGTACAGAATCAATAGCATACCTGATAGTGGGCCAGCATGTTCAGTCTCTTCCAGTCACCTTCAATCTTTGTGGTGATGTCCTCATCCTGCAGGATCGTGCGTTGTCCTCGGCCTTGACGCCACTCTGCAATTGAACAGAAAGGAAAGAATAAACCAAGGCGGCTATAATATTACCAACCATGTTCACACAGCATCACTCCATGACAATATTTACTTTGTACTCTTGTTTGCTTCATCTGCCAGAGAGATTCTGCACCCCCGTTCTATATGCATCATCTCAATATCTTGCCACGGTATTTGGTGTACTTCTATGGCTTTAGGACAAGAACAGTGGGTTCTGGCGGTTGTCTTAATGTCAGATTTCTACTTTTGGAAGTCTGTTCTGTTTTTATCCACAACAGTATTTAAGGCAAGCAGTTGAATCCAAATTAAAAAGGTATGTTTATAGAGAAAATCAATACTTTTAAATTAAATTGCAAAAAAGAAATTATGCTGTGCTGCTAGGAGTAATAGCAGGTCAAAAGGTTCTGATTGCTCAAGTCTTCAATGTGGGTGTCTTTATTTGGCTTGTACCTGATGTGTTATAAAATATATTCTGGCTGTATGTGTGGCTATCTAATTTTCCTCCAGGGATTAGAATCTAAACTTTTGTTTGTAATTTTTTGATGAAAACATGAAGAACATCAACAAAAAACCCACCAAACCAGAAGAAAGCATCACTTTTTTAAATCAGTCTGCCAGAAAATAAGTTATTCCCATCTTTATCTTGATCTATTGAAGGTTTTTCTTCCTTTCTTTACAACAGCCATTTTACATTGTTGCAAAAAGAATGAACAGGATCAAAAAGAGGGAAGAAAAACAACACAAAAATCATTGGGAAGGGGTAAAAGAGAGAGAGGCAAACAGATGCAGAACTAAAACAGAAATGGCTCACACGCGAGACAGTAACAGGAGGCGAGTTAAATTAATCACCCACTCTACTCTTTTTAGAATGAAGCTCTCCCTCTTTGCTCCTTTCCATCTCTTTTGCCGGTGCGATCGATGGGTGTGATTACAGTTGCATGCCCAGGGCTTGTACACTTCCTTTTCCATCTGCAGCACTGGCCTTTATGTTCGGCTCTCTGAAGGCACTATTGGTCCTTGCTCTCCCCTTGTCAAACGCCCATCTACGGCTCTAAGCCTCTTTCCTAACTGCTCTTATACTTGCTGCCGGGAATTTTCGTCAGATCAGACACAGATCTGCGACAGTGTGTGGAGTAACTAGAAAGTTACAAAAATAAAACAACCGCTATCCCCAAAAGGCTGCTGATCATCTAATTTCCATACTTTTCAACAAGCAGTGTCTCCTGCACATGGCAGTGTCTTTCATATGAACAACAGGAAGGTATTTACATGACCTTACAACCAAATTACATCGACGCTACACATACACCAGGCCTCCCACATCTGTGCAACTTCAGCACAAAACAAAAACCAAAGCTTTGATAGAAGCATCTCACAATACCACAGCAACATTATCATAAGTGAAAGAGGAAAGTCATCTTGAAAACAAACAGGCAGATGATTCTTCTATTCTTTTTGTCGACATCATGGGCTTTATGAATATGTTATTGTGTCTGTGCGCCTTGCTGTGCTTCCCACTTGCGTTGGCCACTGTCATCTTCTATTCTGATCACAAACAGGGAAACAAAGCGGCAATCACTGTGGTGCATGATGAGGCCTGTCTTTGGAGGATCGACCAGAATTGTGTTAGCATCTGAAATATCTGCAGGAAATAAAGATTCTCCTGTTGTTTTTTTTTGGTGGTTTTTTTTCTATACAGTACATCCTCCTATAAAGATGCAAATGAGCGCCCGTCTGCAGTCAAGGCTCAGTAAACAAATGAAGAGTAGAAAGGAAGGCAGGAAGGAACAAATAAAGGAATAAATTTGTTGTTAAACCAGCGCAAACTGGGATCACTACTATTCCCAAATCTGTTGGTCTCTAATCACCTAGAACAGACGACCATGTGTGTGTTTGTGTGTGTGGACTTGTTTTATGAACTCAAACACAGCGAAGGAGATAAGGGCTTTGGGGAGTGAATGGAAGTTGATGGCAAAGAGAAAGGCTGAAGGTGACTGTTGTACTCCACAGAGATGCATGACACACGCTTGCTACTGGAAAGCTACACACAATGACACAAAGACACGCGCACACAAGGTCTATCTTCTTTGTTCTTTGGCCATATCTTTACTGGTGCCCTGCGGAGGACTGGGGATTGCAGCATAGCAGAATTAAAAACAATAGCCAGGATAACAACACGGCTGGTCAATCTGTCTCTGGACAGGCCTGCCACAATCCCATTATCTTTATCAGTCACTGCAATCAGTCTGTGTATGTGTGTGTGTGTGTGTGTGTGTCAGAAATCATTAAAGCCAGAGGAATCACCTGTATACACAGAGCAGCTCCCTGAAAGTTAAAAAAGCGTGTCAAGATAATAAAAACAATCAAATGGAAGACCTGTTCCCCCTGAAGAATAATCATCAACATAAATGGCTCGAGACCAAGAAATTGCAATTACAACAGCATGACTTGCAAATAAAAAACGGAAAAAAAACAACAAACATGTGCTCTCAGTCACGACTAGGGAGGAACTTTCTTCTAATCGATGCAGCAAGTTGGAAACATACTGTAAATACAGCACTGGAAAAAATATTTAATTCTAAACACGTGCTCTCCTGTGAGCTTGCATTTACTCATCCTCCCTCATATACTCACAATCACACTCATACAGAGCGAGTGGCCGGCTAACTCCAATTTCCAATTCCCTTTCGTAATAAAACAATAATAGAACAACACATCCTGCCCAAAGGGGGCCATAAAACAATTTCATCCAGGAGTGTCGTCAAAAGGCTAAACCAATCTTTTCACTTAGCTATCTCATGGACAGATTCCCTACGGTATGCACTCAGCCCATCTTAGATCTGGGGTTGGTTATAAATATGCTATTACGAACGCACAACAGGGGTTTGAAAAATCCATCTGGCAATATTAAACCATAAAAAGCACAGCTCGCAGTGAAGAGACAGCCTGTAGGTATTGGCAGGCCAACAATCATGGATAACAATATTGTGCTCACGTGCGTTTGTGTCTACACGTGTACTGTATACACACACAAGGTGTACTGGATATCTCTGATCACTTGATGTCGTGCTGAGAAGGTAGATCTTTGCTCTCGTTACTCCTAACAGTAGCCCGCTACTTTAATTCATTGTATTAGGTACTAAGCTAGAGTTGTGTAACTATGGAAACACAACATAATGTGGCTTCCTATAGGGGTCACAAATGGCACTAAGAGCCCAGATTCATATAGAGAGCCAAATGAGGTCAGAAAGCAAGAAAGACAGAAAGCAAGGAAGAATGGGATTTTGTATGGACGAGATCACTGAGAGTCTCAATTGATTAGCTGATCAATCATCTGACTCAGACGCTAGTCGACAAGAGAGTCGATCGATGGGAAGTTTGGGGAGGGGAGAGACCAATCTCAGACATCTGAGCCAACAGAGCCAGGAAGTCAAGCCTCCTGAGGTTGAAAAGAAAGCTACTTCTCTATATCTAAGAAGACTTGTACTTTTTAAGAAGGGCTGGGCAGACAGGGGAAGCCTTTCTAAAAATCAATGGATGTCTAAGTTCAGCCTCTTTTTTTTTCTCTCTCTCCAGGCACATGGATAGGAAACACTGCATGCATGGAAATGATTTGACAAGTTGTGCAATAACTACAGGAATGTCTCATCAAGTACAACCCTGAATTGTACAATTATGCATAACCCATTATGAACACAAACAAAGGTAGTCATGATAGGACCAAATGTCATGGTGATTTTTTCATTAGACTCACCCTGCAAGTAAATTAAAGTTCCAGGAAATTGAATACACCAAAGATAACTGTCTGCTTTTTCCACATTATTCAAATACAACAAGTAAAAGATTCATACCTAGGTCCATGTCAGAGGCTTTTAGGCGATGTGAATGTGGGACATTCTTGTAGATGGCGTCCAGTATCTTCTCTTTTACCTGGCTGATGGTGTCACAGTTCAGCACTTTAACCTGGATCTCAGGGCTCTTCTCATTCTCTGGATGTATGCAGTTCACCACCTGGAAGGACAGGACTGCCACGGTGAGGGAGGGAAACTCTAAACCAAGCTTCAAAATATGTTACTTGTGGAAAATGTTTTTTTTTTTTTTTGAACACAGACTGAAAGCATTTTTCCAAGTTGATTTAGTGCCGAAGATAAATGGTGTGCTATATATATGATGCAATTATATATTTCAGCTTCGTAGATAATAGGTTTGTGTGTTTTATGTTAATAATGTTGATTGCGATGTGAATTGGTACTCAATGGAACTGCAATAATTTTCTGCTTGCCATAGGGTATGAGAGCGAATTGCAGCAAAAGAAAAGATCATTCACTATGGAAACAGCTCTTTCCTCAGAGCTTGAAGAAACAGTAATGTGCTACCTGAACTGATGAGCACTAAAGCACCTAATTATAATATTATTATCATATTCATCAGTTCTCTCAGTACTGCCTTTGGGTGTTGGTGGAAATACCTGAAATACAAGATGAGCACAAATACACATTACATAAATGAGAGAGCAAATGTCTTATATTTCATATACAAATCATCCCAAATGTGTGTGTCTGCATTATACATAAAACACGAGCTTTCCTTTAAATGTTTTAATCTTTAAGCAGTTTCTACACATTTTTCTATTGCAGGAATGCAGTGTGAGCGGGGCATTAGTGGCCATGTTGTAAAAGGCAAAGTGAACCAATATTCCAGGGCATTTTTGATCTTTTTTTGTATTCCTATTACAGTAAACCAAATGTGCAAATAAGAGCTCCTAGAATGTAGAGTACAAATTGATCTGACACTAGAAAAGACTGAAAGACTAAACAATCTCTGAGTTTCTCCGACTGGAACAATCATGTCACAGTGGAGAGAGGATAACGGACAGATTTGAGAAACAAATGAGAGGTTCCTTAAGGAGAGCGCTTCATTGTCTCTCTGCTCGTGCGGACACGTACACATGAATAGTCTATTTCCTCATCCCGAAGCGCTGCTCTTTTCCTTGACAGCTCCAGTCTCACCAGGAAGTGAGGTCGGCACTCCTGTGCCCCTGCATGTCAAGCATGACAACGACAACTTTGTGTCCCGTTTCACATCTCCTGACCGACCACCCATAACCACCCCTTTTCTCTCCTCTTGTCCCTGAAAGCATATTAAGTGTCCCCTTTTAGCCCTTGGACCCCTGGGCAGGTGAACCCCTTACCAGCGTCTTGTAGTCAATCTGTTGTCTGATGAGCTTGTCTTCACTGAGCGAGTAGCGTGCCTCTCCTGTGATGGAGTCAATGGGGCCTTTCTCCATCTGCTGCTTGATGGCACAGAAGAGGGAGAAGAGAGGCTCACCGGCACACTCCTGCAAAGAAATTTGAAGAGAGAACAAAGTTTAGAAGAAAACTTTAAGACCATGTCTGCACTCAGCACGCTGACAACAAAGTTTAATACTGTCTGAGGAAATAGCTATCTAAAATGTTGTAGTTGCTTTTTGTAAAGCTTTCCCAGACTGTCATGCTTCCAGTGTTGCTGAGTAAGACCTACAAACATCATGTCCCGAATACTATCGTTCCCCTAAATTAAAAAGAAAATTGTACCACCTATCAATTTATGAACTCTGCAAAAATGAAGCTGGAGTTTGGGGAAGGTTTGATGGATATACAGTGAAAATGCCATAAAAGACTGACTCTTGAAGCCACCCCCGTCTTCCTTCCCCACACTGCTGTTTATTAAACAGAAGAGACCAGCCATTTATCATTCTTTATGTTTTCTCCTCCCAGCTTCAGTAAAAGGATGAGTGGAGGGATGGAAGAGAAAAACAGGATTATTGTGACATTTTCGTAACTCATCAGCGGAGAGGAGTGGTGGTTTTGCTTGAAGTGAATACAGGTGTTCTATAAGGTAAAGAGTTCCCCTTTTTAATGGTGCATCAGCATGTCAGACAAAAAACTCTCTAAGAGATAATGAAGCCTAAGTAGCTATGGCAGGGAGGCTGGCTTTTGAACATTGTTAATCCTCTCAACCCAAAATCCACTGACGGGTTGTTATCTCTTCAAAAAAATCACCAAAATTACACCATTGATCAAAGCTAAAAGAAGAGGATTGCTGGATTTTCCACTTTCTGGCAGCAATTAAGCTGCTCATCTGTGACGTGGTGTTGTGTCAGGAAAATAACAAAACCTAAGCTTAAAATCGTGATATTTTATCAAAAGCACTTTACCCTATGACACAATTTAGAGTCCTCTGTGACTCAGTTCTGACCAACAATCAAGTGACAAAAATTCTGGGTTTTTTTTGCTGCACTGGACTGAACTGCAGGATGTGTTTGAGGAGTACAGAAGTACAGAAATAAATAAACTGACTTTATTGTTTATTTCAGGTTGTTTCGATTTTTGTAAAATAAGTAATCAAGGAAATTTAACTTTAAATTTGTCTTTTTAATTGATTTATGGGATTATACTGTTTTCAGGGCTGTCTTTCTTCTCGTCATGGTTGTGCTATTTTTATAGACGTGCAGGACTTTATGCTGTAGTGGAAAATGAGGCCATGGTGAGTAAAACAGTTGTGTGACAGGATTTTTTAAAAAATAATAAAATGAAGCTCAGAAACTTTTAAGGGTTAAAAAAAAATCTGTCTGGAAGCCTAAACTACATATTAATATATGTGCAATATGCTGTACAACCAATGTACTTATGTGCACATTTACAGACTATACGTGCTCTTCATGTATTAAATTTTACATAAGATACAGATCTACTCTAGTTGGAAATCTGTTTGACAATCACAAAGGGATGTTTTGCAGCCACAAAATATATGCTACATGCTACTATATCATTCATCTATTCACAAATTTGAGAGTAAAAAAAAAACATGAAATACTACCGCAAGATACTAAGGAAGCCAGCAGAGAGGCAACAGTAATCATAGTACGATGGGCAAGGGTGCTAAAACTAAACTACTACTACTAATTTCTTCCAGGAGTTGAAAAATTATTTTGAAGAGTTACCTTCAGAAACTTGTAGAGAAGGAACGTAAACCAGTTGGTCAGCATTTTCTCTGCGACAGACTCAGTCCTGCAAACAGACAGACACAAAGCACATAATGAACATATGATCCCCATGCTCTTATTACCATCGTAAATATTCAACACTATTGTCGAATATTCCGCTAAAAATGATGGCCGCCGCTAATGAATAGGCTTTCGCTACACAAACATAATTGCGAAGACATGAATTGAGAGAGCCGTTGCACATGCTATATGATGGCCTTTCAGACAATCTTTAGACTGGCTTTTATGCTCAGGCACGCCAAGGGCAGCTCGTCTACAGCGGCGGGGATTTTAATATGAGGCAAAGCAATTAAAAGCCTTTATTTGATCCCAGCGGATTGATGTCGTTAGGGGCTGGAGCGGCTCTGTAATAACACTGGCCTCATTATCAAGCGCTCCCTTGCCTATTCACTGGACTAACACTCGATCCGTGCACAATAGAAAGTGAATGAATACATCTCCCTCTCTTTCTCCACTTGGCATCCATGCTCCACTGGTGTGGCAAAATGGTGTGCATCTGCATTTGTGTGTATGTGTTGACCTGGGCCAGCAGTGTGAGTGATCCCATGTGAATGACTAATATGCATACATAATAGCAACTGTGGTGGTGGCAAGGGAAGGAGGAGGAGATGAGAAGGATCGGATATCCTTCTTGGCCAGCAGCAGGGGTGTGTGGGTAATCTGTCAGAACACCTCAAACACACACCCACACACCCCAGCCTCTGTTTTCAATGAGCAACTACCATAGGCATCAATATTTCAGGATTAGTGTCCATTGTGCCTGCTTGTGTGTGTGTGTGTAGATTTTGTCCCTGGTGTTTCGGCTGCCACCTGCAGCCCTCCCAACCCTCGCCATTCAGACAGCCTCTTAAAGGGGCTCCACACTGAGGCGTGTTGGGGGGGCATGATGTCCGCTGTGCCAGTGGGCTTGTCTGGTACCCCCTGTCAACACTGGCACAACACCTGGGGGGGATTAACTTCCTGCCACTCACTGTGCCCGCACTTTTATTTTGCCGGCTCTCCCGCCCTTCCTCCGTCCACGGATCCAAGGGTCAACAAGGTCACTTTTCATCTTTTCTTTCATGTGTCCTTGCTGTCTACCTCCCTCCCTCTGGCTGCTCTATTCTGGATCCCGTAATCATACACACTTCCAAATCCTCTCCATTTCCACAAATGTAGCCCATCTATCAAAGGGATGAAAGGAGCGTGGAGAAAGGAGGAGGTGCACTGGGAAGGAAGGAGGGAGGGAGCAGTGAAAAAGGGAAATGAAGAAAGGATCGAGAATAAATGGCTTGGCTGAGTCTGACCTTCCCTTTTCTTCATCTTAAACTTCCTTTTCCTTACTCACTTCCAACAGTTATTGTGTTTTAGTGTGTGCCTGTGTGACTAGACAAGCGCGAGGCTGTTTTAAGGCTAGCATGCAAAAAGCACAAATTAATCCCACTGCGTATGTATTCAGAAATTATCATGTGTGCTGACTAGTGTTCATTGTGTGTGTGTGTGTGTGTGTGTGTCTGTGCATGCGTCTGGCAGTGGGTGCTAACCCTGCAGTAATAGGAAGTCTTGGCACAGCCCCACCACTTTGCTTATGCTCATTCTCAATCATAGCACACTCTATGGGGAACAAGGATAAAAATGGCACTGTGACGGAGCTGTTCCAACATCTGATGTTAGCTTTTGGTATTACAACTTTCAAACAATCTTCTGCAAATCTCTCCTCGGCTGATTTTCACAACACAGCACAACCTATGTTTGGGTTAATGCAATGAAATGTGCCGTAGCGTGTTGGCATGGTCAGGCTTGCCTACTTGGCAGTCAGTCAGAGGGGCAGTAGGCACTGAGAGGGATCGAGAGCAGAGGGACCCTGGCAGTATTTAGTTCTCCCTGATTACAGGGGTAGGATAGAGGGGAATCCATGCCTCATCACATATTTACCTTTTTTTTTGGCCACACCTCCCAGTATTTTTGTAATATGAAATGAACATTGTGAATCTTTAATGATGGAGGTGAACATCCAAAGAAAAAAGCATTAAAAATTGACTTCTGTCAGTCTTAATGATGTTCTAACAGCCTGTTTTCTTCTGGTTTTTCTTTAGCTTACACTTTTGAATGAACTCCACCAGAATAAAAGGGCTACAAACAATATCTACTAAGTATTTGCTGATATTTTGTAGATAAACTGTAAAAACAATATCCTGAAAAATGCCCAATAGAATACTTCCAGAACACACGGTAGCATCTCCAACAATTTCTCACATGTAAGAGACCAGAAGCAGATCGTGTTTAGCATTTTTAACTGAGCCTATTCTGGCAATCACCTCATTACTTAAGAGACGTATGTAAGGTTTCTTTCTTGCAAGAACGGCCAGTGGTAACTGCGCCTTGCCTGAAAGCAGCACAGCTTGAAATCAGAAAGCATTTCCATTTCCCACTCTGACTCTGGGTGGGTGAGGAAGATTGGTCATCATATGTGTCAAACTGTCTCACGGTGATGGCTAGCTGCTGAGCTGCTGACTTGTGGAGGCACGTGCACACACACACATTTATTCTGTCTGTTGCTCACACACAAACAAACACAATTTTTCTTTCAGTAGTGATTGTCCACACGGTTTTACATGGGAGCCTTTAGACCCATGTGATGATAGGGTATCCGTGCTCGAGTCAAAGCTATGTTGCTATTAACACATGAACATATTGGGTTTTCATCATTTGACCAAAATCAAAACTGCTATTTTGACGCATCAACTGGAGCCAAACAAAACTTAAGGCAACGGAAAGACTGTTTAACTCTGCATGACGGAGGGAGGGGTGGTGGCGTGGGGAGGCGAGTGAGAGATGGAGGAATGGAGCGAAGAGATGAGTTAAAGGAGGAGAATGCAGCAAGGAATGCGACAGATGGTTGTGGAAGGCTCTCGTTAGTTAGCTTGCCTGGTGGTTGTGCTTCAGCACAGGTTGAGATGGGACAGATGGAAGGATGTGTGTTCGTGTGTGGAAAGAGAGAGAGGGAAAAAAAAAGACACACACACGTACACACACAGATTTCTTGGAAGAGGAAGCAGTGGGTAGCCGTGCTCAGATGCTGTGCCAGAGACACCCTGCTCACGCACTTTAAGCATTGATTTAGCAATCAAGAAAACAGGGGAGTGGGGGGGGAGGAGGGGAAGAAGAGCTGGGAATATAGATCGAGGGAGTGAGTATAGGAGAGGAAGAGGGAGATAAAGATAGTGACAATGTTACACAAGCATCAGAAGTGAAGACAAACAGTGGAGGGAGAAGTGAGCAGGTAGTGAGCGAGAATAACTCACAAAATGAGCAAACATAGGAAAAGGAATAAAAGAGACTGAACAAATTAAAGAGAGATAAAAAGCGAGAGGGTGGTGCTGCTTCTTAGCTTCATCTTCACAGCCTCGTGCCTATATGTATCTGGGCTATTTTCAGCTTCTATCCAAGGACACACCAGTCAGCCCACACTACAGGGTGGCATAGCTTGCTCAGACTGCCTCATCACATCTGAAATGCATGCTGGGTTGTTGAAGGACTAATAGGCGCATCCGAGGAGGAAGAATGAGATGAAGACAGTCTGATCAGTGCCCATCACAATCGTGTCTATGACAAATGGGAAATCAAGCCGGGCATGGGTTTGTTGTAAACATGTGCTCTCCCTCCAGTGCTGGCTGAATGTAATGGCATTTTCCCCAGGTTTTCCTTCTCCGCTCCCTTGTCATCAAGGCGGAGGAGAAGAAGTGTCAAAACAGGGTGTGATAGAAGAGTATGTGTTTGGCTTGTACAGTTGTTGGTTAGTTGTAGTTGTTGGACTTCTTGTGACTAGTTTATCCTAAATATACTTTTACATCAAATTCTGACACAAGATAAATCAACTACATTTGCATGAATCGCATATATGAATAGCTCTGGTGAATTAAAAAGATCAAAGTGCTGATCTCATGACTTGCCTCCATGCCTCAATAGTCGGCTTTCCTCACTAGGTGACACAGCTTTAAGTGTCTCCATTGTCCTTGACCACCTCTCCCTGTCTCTGCTGTATTCGCCATCTCTTATGATGTATCTGCTGCCAGGATCAGCAGTTACTCCATTGTTTAGTGGCTGCACCATACTCAGTGAGCTCTGGCTGCAATTAATCATGCCTCCTGCCCAGACAGCAATAATCTCTCTCTGCATCACCAAGCAGAGTCTAAACAGGCTTTCATGAGGTGAATATGCCCACTGTCTTCTGGACGGTACGGTGAACAGCATTAATTTCAGCCCTTTCTGCATATCCTTGTTGTGTTTATGCATTTGTCTTTACTGGCAGACAGAGAGAGACAATGTTTTTTGGCAGAAGGAGAATCAGAATTTGAATTGAAACGAGATGGACAACTTAATTTATGGTGTGCCGGTGAAATCATCTGGGGGTGTCAAGACTTGACTGACAACCCCCAAGCAAAACAACATTTAATACCACGTGTATGTACGTATAGATGTGCGTGCACACTCCACACACATACACAACAGCTGTGAGGAAGCTGGTTTACTCTAGTAACCATAATCATCACATTTCCCAAACACCGCAGGCAGGAAGCATAATCACATACAGTGCTGTGTTCAAGTGCATGCCATTAAGGCTTTGACTACAAATCCAAGGGAGGATTGTGATTGTGCCAGAGTGCAAGCTTTTCACAGTCTCACTTTCTCCCATTTTCATAAATGAGTATTTCTTTCCTCTTGAGCTATTTGAAATTGGATTCACTGCTAATTAATCATAATTATTTTGCTAATGATGTGCATGGCAATGCACTGTGGTATTTATGAGACAGCGCCAGCAATTCAAGGTCACAGGAGTTAATCCAAACATGTCACAGATAGGGAACACGAAGTAGTAAATCCAATCCTTGATAGTAAAGCGTTGACATAACTAGAACAAACCTGTTATCTCTATCCTTCACCAAGAACAATACAGACCTAGGTTTAGTGAAGCTGAATGTGTGTGGCAGTCGGTACATTTTTTATATTTAGCTCAGGACCATTGACTTTTATCGAAGATAAAAAGGAGAGGACCTAAGTTGGACAGTTACTTCTTGGTCACCACCAGCTGTTTAACTGGCCACTTGTTAGACAGTGATACAGATAAAGTCCTGATAATTACCTGCGAAGCAGCAGTTTGGGGTGGTTTTTGCTCTCAAGGTTGCGGTCTATGAGGTCAGACAGCAGGTGCTTTAGGACATCAGTGGCGTACTCCAACTTGCTTTGCAGAACTGTCATGATAAGTGAAGCAACATTGCCACGGTCCCTCATGGAGAAACCACGCTGAGCCTCCAGAGTGCGAATAAAACACAGCAGGAAGATCTTGTTGTTAATGAGCTGGCCAAAGAGCTTCAATCCTTTCTCCACTTGCTCCTGGCGGTAGCCTGGCACCTGTGAAGAAACAGAAGAAATGTTCACTTACAGAAAAATACCAAAAATAACAAGGAAAGGAAAAAAAGAGCACGGATTCTGAGTGGCATACTCAAGGAGATGACATATAGATTTAATTAGTCATAGGTTAATTATTCACTGGCTAATTTGAATGTATTATTAGCTCCCTGCCTTCCTGAATGAACAATGCTTCTATCTTTTACAAAGGATACAGTAAGTCACCCATCCATCCATTATCTATACGCCGTTTAATCCTCGCTAGGGTCGCGGAGGGGGTTCAAGGTGAAGGCAGGGGACACCCTGCACTGGTCGCCAGTCTATCGCAGGGCTACACAGACAACCAAGCACACTCACATTCATACCTACGAACAATTTATATCATCAATTAACCTCAGCATGTTTTTGGGGAGGGGGAGGGAGCCGGAGAATCTGGAGAGAACCCATGATGCACAGGAAGAACATGCAAACTCTATGCAGAAAGATCCCAGGCGTCCTAACCTGGACATGAACCTGGGATCTTCTAGCTGCGAGGCAACGGTGCTAACCACAGAGCCACCTTGCAGCCAATTAATATTATTTTTAAGATCAGGTTCATAGATTTTTATTAAAAGCATAAACACAGAAAAGTCCCTGCAGTAATTAATAAAACTAATAAATAAATTCATGTACAGTTTCTACTTAAAAACCCAATTAACAGTAATAGATCCATTTTCAGCCATAAAGATGGAAAGAGGGGACGAGAAGAGAGAGAAAAAGGAAGAATCTAGGGAGATGAGGGGTTTAACGTTTTCCTGCCTTTGTTACGCTCTGTCTGAAGGTTGAGAATAAAAGCAGGAAAACACTCAGCCTCTTTAGGGAATGTTTATTATTTTGATGGCGCTGGATTCCATACTAATGCAAGTTGAAAGAGAGTGCAGTGATGTGAATTTCCCTCGTCTGAGCCAAGATCATCCCTGCACCATTTATACTGTTAACTTGCTACACATGCTTCTCTTCTCCATTTTTTCATAAAAAGCACCTAAGGAGATTATGTTTTTTATCTGTCAAGAGCACTCGTGGTAAGACGGCATCTCTTCGCACCCAATGCAGCTGTCAACCAGCATATGTTCTGTCTTTTTACCTTTCCTGGAGGTAGTTGTAATCTGCTGGGAGCTGTTGTTCAGTTGCAGGTCTAATTTCATACTGCTTGACAAGATGTGCGCATATGTGCTTTGAGTGTTAGAATCTTTCGTGCATGTACAGTACGCATGATTGTGTGAATACAGGCATGCATGGAAATGTGGGAAAACTATTTTGTAAAGTGTGCATGTGCATATTTTCAGGCTTTTTTTTTGTATCAGTCCTAATGCATTGTGGTATTTTATAAGCTACAGACACAATAAATACATTGTACAGTACAATAACAAAAACTTTCAACATGTCTCTGAGGATAATGGAGAGAAGGTGCAAAAAACAGTTGTGACCTACACACGGATCTCCATGGAAACCTGGTAATATTTGAAATGATGGGTGGAATAGTAAAATGAGAGCAATTGAACTGCTAAAACTAAATTGTTTCCATAAAGATCAAGAAGGAAGTGGGGATTATAATGGATAAAACCACACGAAAGCAGCAACCAGAATGGGATTCAAGTGTTAAGTAAAATTGGAAAATAGAAATAGAAGTGATTTTAACTGCCAGAGAGAAATATTAACATTTGCAAGTAACAAATAAAATGTCAACATGCAGCCTTTATTGAGCTGTCACATGCCATACTATAATTGAATATCTTTCTATATACATTTCTTTCTTTAAATGAGCACCAAGGATGTTTTCAATATTTCAATGCTGAAAGGCTTTCCACTGTTTCAGTAAACCTGGAGAGGCTTTCCATCACCTGTGCTATTACCGTCTGTAACATACAGTCAAAAACTTGACTCTAAATTATCCGACACATCAATAACAATTAAGCAGTCATCAGCGGCCTAAGACAAGCCTGCTGCTTTTTTCATTAGGCTCTTTTCCACATTATACTCCTCATACAGTTCGATATTTATACCAATTAAAGCATAATTAATATTGCTTATTACTGGGAAATTCTCATCAGGGATAGAGTGGCTAACCCTGAAGGCAGTGAAATGGGGGTCCATCATTCTCTTAATGGAACAAGACGACCTGCTCAATTATGGCTGTCTATCAATGTCAGCACTGGGGATAAATGACTTGATTTTTTTTCCTTTTGCTTTTCTCCCTGTGATTGACTTTTAATTTGCTTTTGAGGTGGAGAGAGAAAACGGCACAGCGTCTCATATCGTTAGGAGTTATTAATGAGAGCGCACTCCTGATTTGAGGGCTGCCTTGTTTGTTTTTGAAAAAGCGTTGTTGTCGGCCGTCAAAAGCCTTTTGTTTACCAGACAGCGACACAAACAACATCGGCGTCAATTTCACCTACTGTGACCCACCACATTGTTAATTTGCTTGCTCATTTTGCTCTCATTTCAAATAAAGCTAATTGCATTGCGATTGTTATTTGATGGATACACACATTTATGTGTTATTTGCAGGACACCTAATTGATGAGAAAATTGGTAACGACTTCTTATAGTTATAGCTGTCTTCCTTCAGAACGCATTTGAATTATGAAACAACTTTCTGTTTGATGGCCTCAAGCATTTTCTTTGCAACAACTGACTTTAATTCCCCATGTTGAGCCTGTCATAATCTGGCATAAAGTCATTTTGACAGAGCAGTGTTTTCTTAAACTAAAAGTGACCCTTCACTGAAAAAAGAAACCGACTAAATAGGGTACCTCATTTGGAATAAAATTTTAACGTTTAAAATGCTCAACCATACCTCCAGATCTCTCAGTACAGGATGTTCCTCAATGCCTGGGAAAAGGACCCTCATGGTGTAAGTCCTGTAGTCCAAGAAGGGGATACCTGCACCGTCCAGATCACTGGTCAGCTCATGGATGTCTGTCTGTAGCTCTGCAAAGGCTGAAAAAGCACATACACAAAGCAGCTTTATTATTAGGAATTAGCATAGTAGTTATGTGGCACCTTCGCCCTCAGGTAATTAGAGCAATTTGATCAGTTTCATAGAGGCATTAATAAAAAATTATACCTAAAGTGGCAGTGGAAAGTGAAAAATACTGAATAGGATAAAAATAAAGTTTACCACATACCCACTTATCAACATCATCTTTATTTCCTTTACATGTGGATTCCATAAGTAATGCCTAGTGTTAGTAACTGAGTTGTGAATGAACATTTACTTTTATTTGCTTGTAGTTTGTTTTGAAATTGATATTGCAAAATTAGTTGCTTAGCAAGACCCACTGCTTATGAATTCGACATTGGCATCGACCTCTTACCCTCTTTGCATTCCAGAGCAACACGTGACTCAAGGTTGTCCATCTGCATCTGCAGTCTCTTCAAAGTCAGGTCGCTCTCACGAGACTTGCGCTTATAGGCGATGAGCACAAAAACAATGACGAGGATGAGCAGACCGCCGGCTGCCGCAATGCTAACGATTGCAGTGCTGCTGAGCGGGCTGTCGGACGTGATGTGGACCACACCTGGGGAAAACTCGATGCCACCCACACGTGCCTTGAGACAGTAAAAGACACAGAGATAGATTTTAATTACTACTTGGATGAACTGTATATAAACGCTGCAGTTAATTGTTGGGAAGGTTATATTATAAAGGAAACATATGGTAATATGTTTGTGGAAACATGAGGGACGGTTCAGTATACCAGAGCTTTGATCAGAGAAGGGCTTTACTTAGCAACAGCATTTTTAAAAAGATTCAATAATTTAAACCCATTAGGAAGGAGAAATAAGTGAAAATCAAACTCACACTGAAGTATAGGGTTCGTCAAGGCAAAACACATCACAAATATTTATGAAATTTAATATAACATTGCCTCTGTCAATAATTTTGGGTCTCTAAATAATTTCTGTCTGCTAAGTCAAGGTCCAAGCTCAGCCAGACAGACAGACTTATTGATTTGCTTCTGTTTATCTGTGCATCTACTAATTGTTTTACAGTAATGTGTCCATGTCTTTCTGTGATGTTTGGCCCAGGTGGGAACATCAGGAAACGCTTCGTTCAAAGTGGTCCCTTTTAAAACCACAAATGGAATCTTTATTGAGTTTGCTGGGGTCCTAATCTTTCTTATTGAAGGCTTATTTGTTTGTCTTTTGTCTGCTTGTGGGCACTAACGGGAGCCACACAGCTGATTGGATTAGGAGCCGCAGTCTGTATGGGAGTGGACATGGGGATGGATGGAAAGCAACACAAGGAATGTTGGGTCTGTCCGTCAAACTGTCAATCGATGTGGAGGTCTGTCTGCCTTCTCCACCTTAGTCTGCCTATCTACCATGTGTCCGTCTGCCTCTCTTTCTGTCTTGACGCTGTGCTGTGCCACTCACCAGGACTTTGTGTCGACCAGTCAGGTTGGGTGACTCGCAGAGAAGCTGGGTCTCTGACACCGTTAACATGCAGGGCTTCTCACCAATCAGAACCGTGTAGTTGAGCTTTCCATTTCCACTATTGGTTGGAGGAAGAAAGTTCCGCCCCTGCAGACAAGTATTCATGAATTATTACTGTTTGTTCTGTTAAACTGAAGGGTTAGAGCACATTTACACCTACATTCATCTTACTGCAAAGTTATATAAACATATGATACGGACAATGATCTGCAAGCCAAACCAAACCAAGTGATACAATATGAATTTGTATTTTTATTATCAATCTACCATTAGCGCTGTGTGAGTTTGTTTTTAATAGTCTTACAGTGATAAATGAATACTAAGCAATGTACTATGATAAAAATCAACATCACAATAATGATAGGATTATTTTTCTGATATTATTATCATGGCAGGGATTCAAAATCGTGTTCAAAACAATCAAATTAATATGTAATGCACTGAACCATAAGTCATTACTCATGTAAAACAAATTCTTGAACAACAAAATATGTAAATTTAAGTTTTTAATGTTTAGCTCAAAACATAATTTTGACTAATACCACAATGTGCTGAAATACACTGTAAGTAAATGTGTGTGAGTGATGTCCATCTTCCTACTTTTAGTATAATGGGTGATCCAGGTTTAAGCTCCAGCACCCCGGACACACTGAGTGGTTCGAATTCAGGATTAGGGTAGTAGATAAAGTTGGTGTTGTTGAGTGCCATCAGAGCCTGAACATCATCCAATTTAAAGCCAAACTCATCAGGTCTTTCAGGGACTTCTTGCTGCCTGGCGAGGCTGATGGGCAGCTCTGGTGCCTGGCATAGCATGGATGTAGGACTAAGTACCTGGCACAGCTGGAGGACACAAAGAGAGAAACAAAAGTTATAATTCTAAATGAAAAAAGTTTGAATCCATACAGAATTCTGCATCATAACCCTCCTCGGACCTTCTTCCCAGTGAAGTTCTACCCTACTGGCATGTTTAAGGTACACCAGCTTTGTTAAGCCATCCCTTCGACAGTCATTAGTGTTGGTCTTTTATGTCACACGTGTGCATTTCAGTAAGCCCACTGGAGACGCAATTCAAACTGGAAGCTCCTTCATTCAAAAAGTGCAGAGAAGAACCTGTTGGAGGATTTTCCTCAAAGGGAGCCACCAAATGAGGTTCAGTTAGGGAGCGTGTGCAGTCTCATCACAATCAGGCTTTGATGTGTGAAGATTCAGGAGTGATAACTAGGTCTTACCCTTCCTTCATTACCCTCCACAAAGACCCCCCAGCCTCTCATCACTTCTTTATCCCATCCCGATATTCCTCCCTGTGATCTTTTCTTCTCTCTTTGACACATTCTTATTCTCTCACTCATCTTTCTCTATGCCACTTTCCTGCTCAATTACAGTGTCTCATACATCTTTTTCTCTGTCTTGTCTCACTGTTGTGTTTTTATCCTTGTCTTTGCTTGCGGTCCCTCTCTTGACATGTGGTGCTATTTAAATTCTTTATGTTATTTATTCACATCGCAAAGATAGTTTTATAAACAATGACAGATTGATCCGTCATTGTCACGCCACACACCCCTCAATGTCCCCCCAGCATCTCTATCCCTCGTCGTCTGTCAGGGCAGTGACAAATCAACCACCAGCACAGGTCCCTTTCACAGACTTCTCCGTCCCTTTTACAGACATTTCACATTTCCACAGTAACCTCTGCCATGCAGCCATTCAAACTAGTGCCTGTCACTCTAATTGGCTCCTTGAACATCAAACTTGACAAATCCTGCAAGGTCTTCAGGACATCACTGACATGTTTCCTGCTCTGAAGTGGGAAGGTAACGGCAAAAAAAATCTAAATTAAAAAAAAAAGCTCTGACAATGGACAAATGTCATTCGAAAATGCTTTGGAAGTCTATTTCCGAATCCTTCTCATTTAGAACTGCGCCGCGTCAGACTGAGACATGTTGTGAACTTCATGGCGGCACATTTCGCTTGAGACACAATGCCCAGTATGTGAGCACAGATGTTAAATGTGCTGCAAAGTCATGCTCAAATGGACCATGAAGATAGCATTACCGCCTTTTGTTACTCCTTCTTACAATGACATCACACAGACCCTTGTAAGGCTTTATCTATCCTCCCCAGAGAAAAAGAATGAATAGAGGGCAAAAAATTTGATAAGGGCCAATGTTTGTGCTTTTTTGTTCAGTGTCAAAACTTTCCTGTTGTTAGGCGAGGAGATGAATTAAATTATTATCTAATAATTCAGATTCAACCTGTTGATTCTCACTGTGCTCTCTCAGTGTTCAGTATTTTTCCTCAGCCCAGCACAGAAGACATTTACTGACATTTACTTTGGCTACTTTGGCTGGCTTCCCTTGAGTGGTCTAGCGGCCGAGGAAAAGTTGGGAACTTAAAGGTGGTGGCACAGATAAAGTTGAATTAGTCCGCTTCTTTATGACCATTGGATCAAAATGAAAAAGCAAAACAAAACAAAACACTGAAATCTCCCACATATGTGACCCATCACAAAAGAAACATCACATAAAAACATAAGTACATACAGATTTTTTTAAAAAGTTATAAGAAAAAACAACCCAGTCCCTCTGGGTAGCCGAGTTTGGACTCTTTTTGTTTTTTTTTTACCAAGATTAACCACTATTCTGTTGGTTTTTATCACGTTTGCATTCACTTACATTGAGCGTCTCATGGCCGTTGTATTTGGCTCTGATGAGTGGGGTCTGAATGATGTCCAGATTAGTTCCTGTCACTGTCACTGGAGTATGTCCACTGAGAGAGAGAGAAAAAATCATTGATATCAAGGTCAGAAGGACAGTTGAGATTGGTTTGACAGATGGTGACTTGGATTACTCACTAGTAATATCAATGCATTAACTTAGTCAACCCAATACACAGCTGTGATGGAGTATTGTAGATGCTTAAACCTTTGAACAGCAAGCAGTTTCTGGACATGTTTTGCTACTGCCACATGTGTACTCACTGCAGGCTCATTTGTGACTGTAATATAAAGCAAAAAAACCCTCAAAAATGTTGTTTGTGCAATATGACAGTTACAATGCCATAAATCCTAAAAAGAGAGAAATAACTAAAGTGACATTTCTTTGATTACTTAATTTTATAAAAACACCATGCATGGCACTTTTCCAAGGTGGTACCAATGCTGGGGAAAAAATGGGGACTCTACATACTATTGACATTTTACTACTTAGATTTTCACTTTGTTTCCAAACTTGTCTGTTATTTGCTCTGATTAAGCTCAGCCTGCAATTCAGCCTAAAGCCCCTGAACTTGTGTCTTGTGACTGTTGGCTGAAGTTCAGTCACTAATGATTTCCCGGTTGTGCCAAGGAGCACAGAATATCTTAGTTTTACACAATCTGATAAGTGAAGTATAAGACAGTTTATTTTTTTGGCAAATGTTTAAAATTGGACAACAAACTGATTTTGATGAAATATCACTATTTTATACATAAATTTGGTAAAGTTTGTTGGTGGAACAGAACTTCACAAATGGGCAGTTCAAGTATAGTCTGAAAGATGCAAATTCTGTGATTCTTTCTGTTTTTGGAGTCAGTGGTTCTGAAAATTGGTGTCATTTTGAAAATCTTTTTAAAGATAACATATCTCTCAAACCCACCCACAGGGACTAGGGGTCAGAGGGTTAAACTTTAATTTTTAACTTTTGTCTACTGGCCTCTTTCACTGTTGTTTATATTTCTTGCAGTAACTTCTGACAAACACAGTATTCATCAATAACAGTTAACAGTGAGTAACATGCAACCGTCTGTCATAAAGGTGAGCTGACTTAAAAGCAGCCTTGTAACACACCTGTAGATGCTCCACTCTGGCTCTATTTTGGTGATTGTGGGATCCTCCACATATTCGAACTGTAGGTCTTTCTGGAGGTGAGCTCTGTCGATGCTCACAGACACAGACACATTTCCATATCCATGCACAGAGCCGTGAGTTCGGCAAGTAAGCCACTGCCCACCCCTCCTAAAAAAAAAAAGATCATAGAAAGAAACATTACTTACATATAACTTACATGTCAGAGTGATATTGTGTGACCCCCAACAGGCACAGGGGGCAAACAGTATAGTTAACGCATACAAATTTTTATCACAGGAGTTTATTACATTATGAAGACTTTGAGGAGTCATTTCCATGGTTGTTTATCACTCTTTGTGAAGACTCTTAAATTATTCAAAAGAACAATATCTGTTTAATATCTAAGATGGTTGAGTGGTTGGTTGAGTGGATAGGGGTACATAGTTTATTGACTTTACCTTGGAATTGTGCATTGATCAGAGTTAAATGGTGGATTGTGATAATACTGTCTTTACTCAATAATTGAAACCACTATAAAAATGCAATCTACAATAGATTAAAATAATATTTACTAAGCAACAAAAGAAAAAAACATCTATAACTAAACTAAATTGCACTTTGAATATTCATTACTACGAGAAAAAAAACATCTCAGTGGGTAAGATGTGAACTGCCAGGGCAGGTTACTTCCTGTAGTTTGACAAATGCTGGCTTTGACTGAGCTTTTAATTGACTCTTTAAGAGTGACTGACAGGGTCAGCTCTTGACTTGTTCCCACTAACCTCAGATAAGTGCATGGCTGGTCCCTAAACATGACTGACACATTGCTCCCAGCATCAAAGTGGCTGCCAGTGATGTTGACAATGGTTCCCCCAGAGACTGGCCCACGGCTGGGCTTGAGGTTGGTAATCCGTGGAATCTAGAGAAGAGACAGCAGTTTAAAGGTCAGAAGTTAACCAGAGGGCAAAATCAAGGTGAATTAGGAAAATACATAATGCAGAAGAAAGAAATATTCTAATGGTTGGACAAAATAACTGGCCTGGAGATAATCAACTGACTAACGGGCTGAAGGTTGATCAGTGAAGGTGAACCTGAGTCGTGCAGTATTCAGAAATTAAGGTAAAATTCTAGAAATCATCAGTGAACAGAAAATAAAGCACTACATTTTAAAAACAAAATATCTCACCGTTTAAATGATTATCATACAGTACAGGTGCACTAAATTACTACAAAAGTGCTGCATGCTTTATTGAACAATATTCAATGCAATATATTAATGAACATCCTTTCTGCCACAGTGAAATAAAAAGCATTTCTATAGTGAGTCGTCAGGTCAAATTAGTGAACCTACTCCTATGTGATCAGACTACCAGTTTGTGTAGATAAACATATATAAACAGCTGAGCATTCTCACTTGAAAAGATCTTGAGTGTTAACATATATTTTAACCTGCACTCACTGCTCCCACTTAACATACACCACAGTTTGGTGGAAACCTTACATAGACATAGCAGTAGCTTGTGTAGTCCAATGGAAGCTGGGCATAAAGTAAATCCTCCTTCAGTTCATTTGCCCTTCTTATAATCTCATCTCCAGCCTGCTGTGTGGTGTGACATCCAGACCTAATATCATATAATCCTGTGTAGGGACCCCATTGAGAAATAAACCTTGGCCAGCACCCATTAATGGATAGCAGTAAAAATGATAACATGATATAAAACGAGTACATGATGGCAACAACTGCAAATTTATTTCAGAATGCGTGTGTGAAAGTGTGTGCGCACCTACTAGAGTTAGCTTTAAGAGAACACAACAACGGTGTAATGTGTGTTTTTATGTGTTCATTGTCAGAAAATGTTCTTAGAACCATCAGTATTTCTTTCTCCTTCTGTGCTCGTTAGTGACTGCCAATCATGTCTCACTGCTAATACGCACATGAGAGAAGTGCTGAGATGCAGAATCTTGGTGAGAACCACACCATGTCGGAGCACCGCCAAATAAACGACATGTACATACAGTATTAACACAGTAGGTGAGAACACAGACCGACTACCAGCAAGGTGATAACATGCAGCGGGTGACATATGCAGCATGGTTGCCTTTCTCCTCATGGAAGCAAAACACTTTAAATAATAACTCCATAATCTATGGAATTTTTAACCATCAAATAAGTTTTGTCAGCTTTTAAAACTGCATGATTAAAGAAAAAGAACAAGAGCTGAAAATAGACACTCACCACAAAGTAGTAGTACTTGGAGGATTTTGCCATGAATTCAGGTCTGCACTCTCCAACTCCAACACAGACCTGCACATTCCCAGTGTACTGACTCATCTCGGCTTTACCCATCTCGCACACAATCCTGGAAGTGCACATTAGCATAATTGTTGAATATGTGAGAAAAAAGAGCATATGGAAATGCATGCACAGACACAACCACATGTAACATATCTGCCACAAATTTCCATGCAAAAACATGTCGAAACCCAGTTTGCGCTGCTGAAGTTTGTCTTGCTTCCAAATGCAAAGCAGATTATATAAGAATGGACCAAAACCTATGTTGAAACCTCCATAAAATAATGCATTTATTGGCAGCAGCTTCACCTCTCCTGCACTGCCAACTTGTGGGAGAAAAAGGAAAAAAGTCTCTATCCTTTTACATATGACCTCAAATACAGCTACTTCTTCTGCTGGGTCAGCAATTGCTTAGAAAGTGCTGGCACACAACTTTCTTTCTTAGCAAAAGAAGCACTGGCTCTGTTGATAAGCCAACTTTAAACTAGTTTTAAATAATTTGACAGACGGCACCTGTAAGGAGCCAAGGCTTTGGATTAAACTCAAATGTCAACTAAATGTAACCTCCTGAACTTTGAAAAATAATTATTGGACTGTGTGCACTAGTGTGCGGCTGCTTGTGTGTGTGTGCTGGTATAAAATATAGAGGCATGAACTGTGCTCTGTTGCCCACTGGAGTACACAGAGGGTACAAGTCTCTTATAGTGTAAGCCCACTGCTGCGACTTGAAATGAACTTCTCAAATTTCTTCAGGTGGAAAGATTAGGCCAGTTGTGCATTAGTTTATCTGTCGCGTCATAATCTCTCTCTCCTATTAACTCACTGTCTGTCTTGTTGCCTCCACACACAGGGACACACCCACACACAAATCAGTTGTCAGGCTGAGCTGTTATGGCTCTGTCAGGCAGCTAACACATGTAACATATTGCAGTGTCTGTGTGTAACTCAAGTGTCTTGTTCCCTGTAGGGCATGAACTGTTTCGCTGTGGTCAAAGTTCTTTCGGTGTGATTATGGCAAGAGCAGAAACATGCTTGTTTCACAATTTAGCTGCCGATACAGTTCCACTTCTCCCTGTAGCTCTAGTAGCTGCAAAATACTATGTTCATAGATAATATGTACATTTTGACAAAATAGAGATAGCTGAGCAGCAAAGATGATTACAGCCTGTAATTGTCAGTATGTGTGGTATTGGAAGCTATTATCAGCTGGCTGCTGCCTCAAATAGAACTGAACTGCTCTGCAGGAATGTAAGGTGAGAACGATGAGGTGAGGACCTGTTATTTATTCCTTAGTGCTGTCGATGTTTTATAATTGGTCGTTAGTGTAAAATGTGACTTACTGTTCAGCAGGGATGTAGCCCTCGTGTATTGGGGTGCAATCCACTTCGGCCACCTTCACGTTACCCTGAATCTCTCTGAACTCCAGCCCCAGGTTCTCACCACGGATAGTCACCAGTGTGCCGCCTTCCCTGGGACCTCGGAGAGGGGTGATCTGTGGGAATTCAAAACTCTGCTGATCACTTTGGACATTGATTTTATTTTCTCAAAAAGGGCATTAATGCATTGCAAAAAGCATTTAACTGACAATCTAAAAATAGACATCTTTGCTGTTTTACAAATGGCAAGTATACAAGTGAGACTAAATGCTGTTTACTGCATTACAAAGTAGAAGCATTTATGGGAGCAGCAGAAGGTCTCTCTAAGTGTATATTTTAAAAATATAACAATCTGTCTTTCATGATTGATATCTCCATTATCTGTCCATTAACTATACTACCTCCCTGTTCATAGTGTATCCAGATCACCTTAAAGCTATTATTAGCTTTATTATTAGGCAATTATTTTAAATGGCAACTTTATTTGCAATTTATGTGAAACGAATAAACAGGCATGTGTAACATATTTGGATTGTAAAGGTAACCATGACCCTGCACAGTACTCTTATGCTATAAAGTAGCAGTGGTGGTAAAGATATAAAATAACATTGTGACCTTGCTTGTTGAATAATTGCCAAGCAGTAATAAATAACTACACCTAATAAGAATAATAATCAAACCAAATAATCACTTTTCAGATGGTAATTGAGTGTTGGCAGTCAGAGTAAGATGCTACTTTTTGGGGTTTTGCCTCATGAAAACTACTGTAAAGATAAAGGCTCTAATCCAAAGCAACATAATGTATTGTACAATGGCTACCTGAGGTACAGAAAGAAGGTGACGAATGATAGCTGTTACTAAGAAACATGATTTACTTTTTTAAAACTCCTTGGTCACAACTGTTTGTGTTCACACTTTATGTAACTCTTAGAAAAAAGTGTTTTCTGAAGAGTTGGGGGAGGGGAAAGACGACAGGAAAGAGACAATAAACTACAAAATAATAGCTCCAGTGACAGCTCAAGGGTCAAGGCTCCGGGTCAAGGGCCTGTCATTTCTCAATCTTGCATTCACTGAAATCCATGACAATTTATCACATAAGATTAACTTAAATCCTGGCATTGGGTGACATCTTTGCAGTAATCACAGCGTCCTTTGATTTATCAGTAACATCTCTCATTGTTGATGAGGTGGTTCCAACATCCATCAACACTTTACTCACACAATTACTTTTTTGGCCCGTGAGTGTGTGTGTGCATATACATCATCAGGCCCGTCCAGATGGATGGATGTTAGAATCGGACACAGAATAGTCTGTTCCCATCCGTCTCTGCCAAACAGAAGTCCTCCAGGCTGCATGCTGCAGGCAGGAGCCCAGCTTTAATGGGGACTCTCATTGTTTCTCTTCTCAGTGTATAGTTGGCAGCGTGACCCCCTGTGGTTTTCGCAGGTAGACTGCTGCGTGAGGGGCTTTATCTTAAAGCATGAAGCTGTTGTATGTTACAGTGTGATATACCGTATGTTACTACCACAAGCGAATCAAAAAAAAATTAATTCAACTATTTGTTTTTCTAAGAAGGGGACGAGGACAAATTGAAGTAGCTCAGCTTGAAAGAATATAATCAAATAACAGCGGCTAGCTCAAGCCAGGTCATGCACAACACAAGTCCTGTGACTGTCATGTGGGAGATATCGTTATCGTATGGTTCAATGTCTCTGATTAATAAGGCTCCCTGCTGATATCTTAATGAAAAAAAGAAGCCTTCTGGGAACAGGGCTACAATACATGCAATTAAAAAGATTGCACACAATGCCTTGTGGCTCTCCGTTTATTAGCAAATACGGAGGATGGAGAGGGAGAACGAGTTCAAGAGAAAAAGTGAAGGAGAAGGAGGAAGCGAAAGAATGCAAGAAAGAGAGAGAGAAAGGGAGAGACGCAATGAGGCGTTGATTAGATTTGTGACTTTGACAAGATAATTGACGGTTGGGTAGAGGCAAACACTTAATCACTTCTCCCTCTCTCTCCCTTTCTCTTTTCATCTTTCTATGTGAGTCTCTCCCTCTCATATTGTTGATGGGAGATGTCATTATAATGAAGCGTATTAGAATGCATTAGAGCCTGGGTTGTCTTGGGAAAGTCCTCACTCCTCACCCACTGACAGTTTTTATGGGGGACGTGAGAAGGCTGCAATATGTCCCTGCTGCAGCCTCAGGGAAGTCAGGAGAAATACAGGCCCATATCCTAGAATAAATCCACTGCTCCCGGTGAAGACAAACACTGGAGAGGAGGGATGATGGAGTGCAAGTGACTGATCCAGACTCTTTAATAAGTGGAAGGAGGGACAAAATATCACCGTGTTCTCGTCACCTTCCTCAAGTGCTGGTTTGATTTTGTGTGGATAAAAATTATCGCAATGATTTGGGTTATCAGTGAGAGGAAGAGCAGTTCAAGTTATTAAGACCAATTTTTTTTTGGAGACATCTATGTCCTCAAAGAACCTAGACTTTTCTCTCCCATGTGTTATCCCTCTGTCGAATTATCCTCCTTGATCTGGGGTGATGACCAGATTCCTTGTGCATTCAGGTTTGCAAGGAGGTTTTATAGTGCAGTGTTCAGTGAACATCCATGCAATCAGACAGTTATGTGCATGCTGGTCTATGTAGGATGATGTAGGCAGTGGAGAGTGTAAATGGGATTCCATTTCTCTATCCCTCTTCCCTCCGTCCATACCGATCATTCTCCAGGACAGCAAAGGGGATTCCCCCTCTATGTCTTTTTTATCTATGCTTTGCTTCATCTCTTCATCTCCAGTAAGTCACCATCTGCTCCTGACTCTCCTCAGGAAAAGGATGCAGAGTGGACCTTCATATCCATCATTGGAAAAGTGGGAGGGGGGTAAAGAGGGGGTCTTTTCCCCGGCCCTCCAGCCTCATGTGACTCTATTCTGGCTCAGTGTAGCGATCCATCACCACCTCTCTTACATGTAAACCCAATCCATCCTCCTCTCCCTTCATCCGGGCAGCTTTCCATCCATCTTTCCTTTGTGTCCTCGTATCCTTCATCTTGCCGACCCTTACCACTTGTGCTACTGGCCTTTTTATGTGTCTTGCACAGGTCAAGTCTATTTACCTCACACAGCGTTGGTGGTGTTGGGGAGCACGCTGGGTTAAGTGGAGGTTTGCATGAACATCTGTACAGCTGAGTAATAACTAGCAAGAGTGAGGATGATTTGTCTCTCTCAAGGTCTTACATGTGTTATCTGAGTGTTCGTAGGTAAGAGACAGGTAAATTCTGGCAAATTAATGCCCCCTTGCAGTTTTGAAAAAAAAACATCTAAAATGCCAATTTATATGACTGCTGTGATAGTGATTGCAGTATATTATTATCATTGAAGCTTTTTATGTGATGTGTTATACTGTAAAAAGGTGTAAAAAATACATTCTTCCTCACAAATGCTGTCAGACTGAATAGTTAATGGTGATTCAGCCCCTGCCATTATGTTGAAATGATCAACTGCCACACTATCACTGAGGTGAAGTGTGCTCCCATCAGTGCACTATAATTAGAGTGTCTATGTATGGGCTTTGGGATGGAGAGAAAAAAAAAAAAGTACTGACATTAATATTGCCATTGCTTGGTCTGTGTAAGTGCTAATTTCTAAAGTGTGTACTCTATGTGTCAGGTGATAATGCACATATGAGTCTCACCTGTGTGATGCGTGGATGGGTGCACTTGCTGTTGATGCCGTTGTGTTCCAGCCACTGGTTCTCAGGGTGGGGGCAGTGTTGCTTGAGGGTGCAGCGGTTCTCTCCTTTACACCAAACGCATCCAAACAGCGGGTCTGCTTTCAGACACAAACCGCAGCTTCCACGCTGGGCGTCGCACTTGTAAAGATGGACTGTGCAGATGAGAGGAAGGAAAACAGAGAGATGGAGGGAAAGGATCGAAGGGAGAGAGGAGGGAGGAAGGCAATGATATGGGGAGTAAAAGAGGAGGAAAGTTAACAACCTTTGTCGGCAAATTTAATAACAAAGAGTTAAAAACACACAGCGAGCTAATATTTTGGTTCTTTACACAAATCTCCTATTGTCTATCATGAACTGTTTGAATATGTGAACAAATTTTGAGAGACATTCGTTGATATCTTCGTCTCATTATCACTCCATCTATCATCATCATCTCTACATACTCCCTCTGCCCCCCCCCGTCTCTCCCAGTTTCCTATGCTGATGCCTCCCGCCGCTCCTCACCCACCACACGTTTAACATATCATCTCCATGGCAACGGACCAGCCATTTTCTTTTTAATTGCCATTAGATGCACGTGTAATCTGCCCATCAAAAAATGCCCTCAGAGCCGCTTCCTCCACAAGCAAACAAAGGTGGGAGGAGGTTGGAGGAGAGCTCTCTAGTTCAAGCATCTCCCTCTCTCTCTCCCTGTAACTTTTGTTGCTTCTTTGATTCGACACTTGCGCTCAAGGATATGTTTTGTAGACATGCACACAACCACGAGAACACACAAATACTTTACAAACTTTGCCTTACAGCACAGTGTCATTTTGGCATATAATCCACATTTTAACAATACATTTCTCATGCCTGACTCCACTGCCTTTGGTTAAAATGAGCTGTTTTCCTGTCAGAGAACTACAACCCCCAGCATGCTGCTGTTTTTCTGCCCAGCGTGAATCACTTACAGTGGTGGATCGCCAGTGGCCAAACTGAATCAAGCTCAGCAGCTGAATCCAGAATGCTTAAAAATTCAACACTGAGCTGTCATTCCACATATTCTATGAGTAGATGAAGAGTTGTACAGAAAAAAAAAAGAGGAGAGGAAGAGAAAAATAACCTTTGGTGTGCTCCTTTCATTATATGCTGGTAACATATTAGCATTTTTTGTTCAGCAGTAGCTCGATGCTTTGCCAATATGGCTCTTCTGTTTAATTTTATGCCATTAAAGCACATTGAATTACAAAAATCGACTGCAACAGAGAGGCAGTGGTGACAGAGACTTATAGATTGCCAAACTCCCGGAGAGACGGTGAAAAATAAGAGCAACAGCAAAAAAAAGAAATAACATTTGAGTGGATGTAAGAAAATAGAATTTAGTGCGTGAGAAGTAGATGGAAAGACAACAGTAATGTGCAAGACAAGCAGATGGAAAGAGAGAGAGAGACAGACAGAAGAGGGGGAAGCGAGACCTACAAAAGGAGAGTGTAAGAGAGGATGTGTTAAAGTTAACCACTCCACATGGCAACATCAGGGAATGGATGCTGCACCTCAGCACACCACCCGCCTGTTGCCATGGAGACGGGCTCCAAGGGCATCATTGGGGAGGCAGCAGCTTTACTGTGCGTTTTTGTGTGTGTGTGTCTATGTGCATGTTTAAGTGAGAGTTTGTAAGAGACTGTGTCGACTAAACACGTGTGTCGTTTCTTACGATACTGTGAGAACTACGGCAAAGCTGATATGAATTGTATGAACTGAAAAGTGCGAGTGTGTGTTCGTGTGAGTGTGCATATGCATATGTTTGAGTACACACATGACTGCGTGCCCATGCATGCTTACCTTTGTTGTGGGCGGGGTTGTCGATGCTGAAATCTCCGTTCCAGATGACGGTCAGCTCCACGGGAAGACTGCTCATCTCCATCCCATCATAGAAATACTATCACCATGGCAACCAGAGAGGGCAAGAGAGAGACGGGGAAGAGAATATGAGAGAGAGAGAAAGTCTTTAAACTGTCTATTATCTCGAAGTCCAAAAGCCCCTGGTATCACAATACTTCTTTGAATGCAAAAATGCACCTTCCACAGGTGGTTGTACACACAATGAATACAAACCTCAACACACACGCATACACACACACACCCTTTAATCACAACCACACACTATACACACCGGAGAGCGTTCAAAGATGAGATTATTTTTCATTTGGTTCTCTAACACTAGCAGCATGGAGGGTTGGTGCTAGAATCATAATTTTCTGCTAAATTACAGTTTCCCTCCTTCACTGCTCAATCAAAGTACAATATTTGGAATGTACTGTGATTATACACACAAATCCCACAGACATCTATATACACAGACACTGACACACACACTCAGAGTGATGAAGACAGACAGGAAGATGGGATGTTATTGTATCAACAGACGATTAGCATCAAGATCAGCATAAAGCCTTTTTCATGCTCGTCTTTCATTGCTGTCAATGCATTATTCAGTCAGTGAATGGAGCATCATTGCAGAGATGGCTGTGTAGGAGAGACAAAGTTAGGTTCTTATCTACCCACTGTCTAGCTGGAAGACCAAAAATCTCTCAGCTGGAATCACAGTGTGTGTGTGTGTGTGGCTGAATGTGTGTGTGAGACATCGAAAAAAAATCTTCGCGCCACATTTATAGGGAGACTTTACAGAAATGAGGCGCCTTTATAGAGATTGTGTTGGTGTGTAGTGAGGTGGTGGTCAATGATGATGTGTCAGACAAGCTGACGCATTAAACACACACACAGTCTCCTCACCGATGTGTTCTGGCACTGCACTGAGGAGCTGTTGAAGCGCAGGGCAGGAACCCGGTGCTCGCTTCCTTGGATGGTTAGCAGACACTCGTACCCCCTCTGTCCAGACTGGGGCTGAGGGAGGTTCTTGGCCCGTAGGGTGATGGGCTTCACCACATTGACCGGCACCAGTATTCTTTCCGCAGGCAGCAACTGGGGACATCCCTGGAAGAGAGGCAGGAAAACAAGAAAGGTGGGTCAGGGGGTCTAATGCGTAATTAGATTAATGCTACTTCAAAGAGATCCTGCTTCCTGACAATGTCAATTTAAGAGCTTCAAATTAAATAAGCCCTTTGCTTTATGCTTTAGATGCATCGGGCACATCAGTGTTATTAGAACGGCCGTTTCCTTCTCACCCATGGTACAATGTAAAGTACATGACTCTCCATTTCAGTGAAAGAACAGCTTAATGTTTGGGAGACAAAAAACTCTATAAGAAATCTTCATATTTACCTTTACCACAGCTCACATGAAGTACTATCCAGACAGAGCAGCCTGCCGTTTCAAATAACTGAACCTTCATGGTGTAAAAAATGCTGACAATTTCAAATCGATACAAATCATATGCTGCAAACTTTGGCATCACAGATGTGTCAACTCATACCGGACTGCTGATCTAAAATTACTTCTGTGTGCGCTGAAATATAAAAACATCAATACATATTTCTGTTTTACTAACTACAAATACATCACCTTATTCAATCAATGACTAATTTGGATACTGTTATATTATTTATGACAATACTGACAAGAACTGTCATCTTCAAATGTTATAAACAGTTGATGCCAACATGTTTCTAATGGAATATGATATGATGTTAAAATGAGGATAATGAGAACAATTTCAATCAGCTGCGTATATTTGGAGACAGTATGGATTGCTGCTACTTGAACCAGAAAAATGACTAAAACCTTTCTAACACACAGTGTGCTATAAAATCACAATGACACTCATCATTTATCCCATCAGGTAGCAGACTACACAATAGTACTTCACATTTTAATTTGATGACATAACCACTTCTGTGTGTACTGTTTTTAGTGTTTAGTGCTTCTATTTGTGATTTTTCCTGTTGAGTTGAGTTGTCTCTTGGATAGACAGTCCCAAGACCTGCTCACATTCGATGAGTGAAGGGCCAGCTCAATAGGTACTCTACTATCATTATCTACAGGAGGTGAGCATTAATGACACAATGACACTTATCGAGATTAAATGAGCTCTCATTTTGTGTTTGTATGTTTAGTTGATTTTTGGGGGAAGGGTTTCCTTATCCAAATCTAGGATCTGAAGACGGAGGGTGTTGCACGCTGTATAGATTACAAAGCCCCAGAGGAAAATTTTTGAATTCTTTACAGAAAAAGAAAAAAAAAATACCACAGATGGCCCAAAAATAAGGTTGATTTCTGTCTGTGTAGTAATTAGTCAAGAATGAATGACAGGGAAAGAGAGAGGGAGAGTGAGCAAGAGACACGAATCACGTAGCAATTGGAGGTCTAAAATTACCAGCCAATCAATTCAGGTGTGAGTAGCTGGCTAAATATAGACCACCTATGACTTGCCAGAAAGATGAAGAGGAGAGGAAAGAGGAGGTGAGAAGAGAGGAAGAGATGGACAGAGGAGAGAAAAGGAAAGACAAACAGAGGAGCCCAGAGAGGACAAGTGGGTGCAAAAAAAAGCATTGGCAAGAGAACAGGGAAGTGACTGACAAGCAGAAGTGAAAGGTGAGGAGGGTGCTAAGGCAGGGTAAAGATAGTAAATAGAGAACAGCACTTCCCTAAGTACTTTGCAAAATGTTTCATGTTTTTGCTGAAGAGTGGTGGATAGGGAGAGACGGAAAAATGAGAGAGAGGAACAACAAAAGAACAGAGCAACTAAAAGAGGCAAGAAAAAATACCATTAAGCGTATGTGACAGGAGGAGCTTTAGCATGTCAAAGAGAGAGAAGGAAAGAGGGTGAAAAGAAGGAGAGCAGATAAGGTGAGCCCCCGCATGGATGGAGCTGGGGGGGAGTGAAGCATAGCGCACGTTGAACTGGGTGATAACACTTGTTTGAAGTTCATTAAAAGCCACTTGATTGGGTTAGGCTGAGTGACTGACTGACTGGATAACTGTGTGGAGAGAGAGAGGGGAACGCTCTGTGACACTATTCACAAAGTCATTATAGATAAATGACACACAGGGTGAGTGAGTTCAGTGGTGGAGGAGACGGAGGAAGAGGTGGTGCATGCGTGTTTGCTCTTCCAAATCTCATTTTCCTAAGAACGAAGGGTCATATTTGGAGAATGAAAATGAGTGGGAGAGCAAAGAGAGATGCAATCCATTTTTAATCACATCTCTTCCAGTTAATACACTTGAACAACAGGGACAATAAATTTGATCTAGTTTGTAAAAATGAAGGCATGGGAAGCACCGGAGTATGACTTTACACACTGACTTAAGCTGAATCTTGAAGACACAGATCTACACTGATAGTGGCATATGGTGATGAGGTGACAGGATCTGTGCACCACAATAAAGAGATGTGTGCGCGCACATATCCACAGCCATAGAGCATAGCAGCTCTACAGGGAAGTGTTTGAAACTCAAATACTGACACCACAACTATGTTTTCTTGCACATGCAAGCAGATTCAAGGTTACACTGACACTTTAGCGTATGTGTGCAAACACATACAAAGAAACTACAGCCTTGGAATTCCATTACAGTATAAAATTAACGTCACAACCACACAGCATCTCTTGCATCATCTGTCTTTATGACAACATGTCCGTGGAGATGGAAAACTTTGGGAAAAAATGCAAATTAAAACTGTTGCTGACTACACATGCTGCACACACATTTACAATTCCATGAACCACAATTCTCTTTACAACAGTAATATTAGATTTATTTTATTTTTATTTTTTTTTACAGTCAAGCTCCAAATACCCATCTATGTAGTGGAAGGTAATCTTTCTAATCTTTGTCTGTCACACATAAACACACTCATAAACCAAAGTCATCTGCCCTGTAATTTTGAAGCAGACCTCCCCCACTACTGCATACAATCACACAACTGCACACGTTCAGCGTTGCCAGAATTACAAGCTGTCATTCCTCGTGTCTGCTCGAAATCAATGAAACCTTCACTCTTGCCATTTTCAAATTTTGTGACAGATGAAATGGCAAACTATGAAAAAACAACAACAAAAAAAAATGTTGTTTTTGCTTCAACAACAATGAAAAATCTGTGATGTGAAAGGGGATTTACAATCAAGAAGGTGTGCATGCTGGTAGTAGCCTGTCATTTTTATTTATTTTTACTACTAAGCTCTGATTTTTCTGTTTGTATGTACACATGCACACCCAGACACACTTGCGTAGCACAATGTGATCATTGCCAGCTCTTCCTGAGGCCAAGTGGGTTTTTATTGGTTTGGACAAACACATGTATATCCCCTCGTTGGCTGGAGATGCTGGTGGTGTTGGCATTGATGCTCACTGTTGCTGTTGAGATTTATGTGAACGTTAGGTTGATCTAACGTCGGTGCTTTTATTATCGTTCCCCACCCCCTCAACCCACAACGAATGAGGTGCGATAAACAGCAGAGAAGCAAATGCATATTCACACATTGATACATCTACGCAAACCACATACTACATGAAGCACATCCCTATAAATATGCACACTGTAGCAGAACACCGCCATACAGACACAAAATTTAAATTTACAACTTGATCAGGCTTGACTCCCACCAGTAGGAGGAGGAAGAGAAAGACAACAGGAAGAAGAGGAAATGCTTTTCTGTCAGATAGGTGAAACAACCCTTTTAATAATTTTTTAACCCTGACTGAACAAAGAGATAACTGATCTGACGGGAAAGGAAACACTACAAACCACCTTTTTGATGTAGAGGGAGCTTGCATAAACTATAAATGTGTTTTTGTTTTTTGTGTGCCTTTGTGTGTGTGTGTGTGTGTGTGAACAGCAGTAACAGTCTTACAGCCGTGTAATCCAGGACTTTGACTAAAGCATTAGAGAGAGAAAAGTACCTGTCAATAGCATGACTCATCATAACCACATAATAAGCCCTGACTTCTGAAAAACAGAGTTGGCGCCTCTCTTTTTTCTCTATATAATTATCCTTCATTCGTCCTCTCTCCATCACTGACTCATTGTTTTCTCTGACCCCACCTCTGATTTCTCAGTCATACTCGTGTTTTATCCCTCCTTCATTTATATCTCTCTAAACACAGACTGTGGTTGTTCATCCTATCTCGCTCACTGACCCTTCTCATTTCTCTTATCAACTCTCTCACTGATTCTCTCTCTCCCGCTTTCTCTTTCCCGACTCCTTTTCTTCTTGGGGACCTACTTAGATCTGATAATTAGAGGCTGGTGGGAGGTGTGAAGGGTGGAGATAGGCAAAGTGACAGAGAGTAGGAAGCAGAATGGGGACTGTGAATGTAAAAGCCCTTGGCATAGTTTAAAGCTAAGGAGGGAAGGAGGGTGAAGGCAGAGAGAGAGAGAGAGAGAGAGAGAGAGAGAGAGAGAGAGAGAGAGGGAGGCCCATAATTATAGAAGTGTAAGGTGTGAAGATGAAGAGGATCTTAAGTTTTCATACACGTACACACACACACACACACACCTTGTGGTTACCAAGAGCTCCCCTTAACTAGCCTCTGTTTTATCATATCCAACAGAGCCTCGGGCAAAGACACTCTGCCGCTCTCTGTTCACTCATTCTGCTTCCCTGCTGCTCCTCACCTTGTTTTTTTATCCCACCATTCATTCCTCACCTTAAAATTTTTTCCAAAGAACTTTTCACTGGTTCCTTCTTTTCTCCTGCCGGTTTTGGATATCGTCTTTGTGTCCTTTCTCTCAAAGGTCCCAAGTGGTGAAAATCCATTTTTATAGTTTTTTTTAATGTCTTGGAAACTTTGAAGTACAAAACAAAAGCTGTGCAAATATAAAATTGCTGATACTGCCATTTCTGTAGCCCCCCTTCAACAAATTATCTTGCAGCTTTACATGCAAGTCACAATTTTATTCAGTTGGTATGGAAAAACTGAGCAACCAATAGTCATCAAGCTAAAAAAAAAAAGATTAATCTTGCCCATTTATTTGTTCAAAGTGAGCCATTCAGAAAAACAGCTGCCTCACAGTCCACGAGGTTTGTCTGCTTCTGCTAACTCTAAAACACCTCAGCCCTGAACACAGCTCAGCAAATGTTCTGCATGAGTGAAGACAAGTGTAAGTGTATTCATGCACTCCCAGCATATCAGGAACTACAAATCCAGTAAACTGCTTTTATTATTGATGGCAATATCACCACAACAATAGGAAAATCCTTAGTGTTAGTGCATGGTTGCTGTTGCTAATGTTACCATTAGCTTTAATCATTTATCCACAGATCACAAAGATGGAAACTTGAAGACTGATTTGAAACCAAGAAACAAGAGCTGGGTTACTGTGTTTGCATGTCGCCTGTTGTGCATGACTCAAACCTAAACTCTGCAGGTGTTCACATCTGTTTGCTTCTTTTCTGCTCTCTGTGCTCACATATACTACAATTTAATACAGCCAAATTCCCAATGAAGTTGTTTTCATTTACATGTTTTTGTGTTTTAGTTGTCAGCCAAGAAAATAAGTATGGAATAGCGAGTGAAACACATTCCATTTAGACTACCTGTTAACTGGCAGTCACTTCAGGACCACTTTCAAGCTGCTGCTCTCCACCGCTAAAATACTGATTTTATAACCATGCGTTGTCTGTCAAACTCTCCACACACAAGTTCAAATCAACGGCTGTGCTATGAACTCTGTGATAAGATGATCACTCAGAGGGAATGTTAGAAGTGACATAAAGAAATCCTGGTCTCACACACTCATTAATGTCTATGGTGGTTAAGGTGCTGTCAGCTGTTTTGCTCCACGCTGTCAATCACAGATGCAGAGAGAGTCTTCTTCCTGAAGGGGGCGTGGACAGCAGCAGCTCAGCTGCATTTAACTCACAGACATTGAAACAGCCTATTCAGAAAAAGGCTAAAAGCAGGGATTATACAGCTATCATAACATTAGCCATTTCTGTTATATTTTGATGAATTCTGGGAGACATGTGAGAATTGAAGTAATTTGATGAGAGGGACCCAACATTGGACCTTTAAAGGAACGTTATGATTTATTATAATTGAGTTTTTGTTTTAAATAGTAGTGGCCATAATTATTTCTTTTGATTACAAAAACATTCTACTAATCTTTAGCCTTGTGCTAAATCCAGTGTATTTACTACAACCTGAGATTGTACGTACATTAATACGCACTGTCCCATCTAAATAAACAAATAAATAAATAAAATTAAACCTGAGAACAAACCAAATTCGCAACAATTACATTTGACAGGGCAACAAACACAAGTTTTCAAATGATCGGTTGCAATGTAAACAGGTTTACCAAAGCTGCTATAATTTAGGGTAAAAACAACAGTTAGCTTAAGATGTTGGTAAGAATCCATTGTTATCACAGGATAAATGTGTAAATGTACACATTCACACTTACAAAAGCGTATCACATACACTATTGTAAGATCAGTAGTTAGTCTGTAAACTCTGATGCAAAAAGATGCCGGGTGAGGGTAATGATTTCCCTGTTCACTAATTCCAAATACATTTCCCTACCCTGGGGGCTTTGTTTAAAGCCCACATGATCATGGCTGCTCATGTGTCTTGCTTTACTGCGACATTTTCCATTGCTGTGTTTTCAGATTTAAGCTCATTAATCGTTTACTTTTAGTGCATTTTTGTAATTTTCCTACAACCTTGCTTCACTCTCAGTTTTTATTATTTTTTTTAAACATTCTCTTTCTCCCTTCACTCCGTAAATACTTAACTGAATCGAACCAAAGCACCTCTTCCCTACCATTTCTATCTAATATTGGCAACCAACAGCTATTACAATTGGCATTTAGCTTCTGTAATAAAATTACCCTGATCACTTGATCGATAAGTTTCTGGTAAATAAACTCAACAACACTGATCACTTTAGCGCAGTCAAGAAGTAAACAATGCAAGGAACCAAGGTTATATTATTTGCTAGGAGATAGTGGTGTGTATTGAGTAACATTAATATTTTTGTGTGTTTTGTATCTCCCAACCAACTGGATATATTAGGGAAAGGTTTGGCAGCAACTCAGGATATGAACATGCTGTGCTGTAGACAGGAGAAGAAGAAAGGGAAATATCCTCCTGTGGCTTTCATCAGACAAAGAGAACAGGAAGTGTCTCCAGTTTCATCAGTGTCTTTAGGTAAGACTATGTGTGTGCTTTAGGATGAGGGATGCAGTCTGAAAACGAGCTAAATATGCAGGTAAACAAACCCTGTTTATCGGGTAAACAAGCAAAACCTATTCATATCGTAATCAGTGTGACAGAAGTGGACAGGAATAACTCTGGGCTCTTTATTCAGTGTAACTAAACGAAGCTGCATGCATGTTCTTTGTCAGCGAGGCTCATCAGAATGTCTAAGTCCTTGAGATGTGTGGAGGGCAAACAGGGACGTGGCCTTGGTTAATGTGCCAACAGGCGAACGTCTGATCCATGTGCCCATATCATTGCTGGCATGAATAAAAAGGCACCCACTGTACGCCCGGGCTTGGCTTTAACTCTGTCCTGCAATGCATACTAACAACAAGCTCAACCAGTAGGGAGATTTGCCTGGCCTCAATCATTAGCATAGAGTTAAGGGATTATTCAGATCACTGCCTGAAATCCTTTAATTGTAATAGTACACAAAAAATCATCTGCAGCAGAAAGAGCCCATCCCATTCAACAGAGCAAAGTTGACTTGTTGCCTTTTGTGAAATTTGGGGATGATTCTATGGACAGTTGTGTGTGTGTGTGTGTGTGTGTGTGTGTGTGTGTGTGTGTGCATATTCTTAAGCTTGTGTGTGTCTAAATTATTAATTCAAACTGGAAACCAGAAATCTGGCTGCAAATACATGACCCTGGATTTGAGGGGTTAATTAAAAGCAAATTAAAAGTCATTAAGCCTGCAAAACACCTGCTTTTTTCGGAACAACATGTCAAAAAAGGGATGTCATTAATGTGCTAATACCAAATCCTCCTTGCTTTATTTATGGTTTTCTTTTAGTCAGCAACACAATAGGAGAGGATTCACACAAATACACACATTATTATCCAGAGTCAATATTGACCACCAGCGCCTGAGCTAATTGGAAAAGTAAACCTGCAAAGACTCATGTTTGGGCCTAACTAAGCAGAAGGTTCAAAAGGATAATGGAAACGGCGTAAAAAGAAAATAATATCGTCTGTGCAGGCTGAATGGCTCGGGGGAAACATGGGTGGAATAACACAATTGAGAGCAGACTGCTCATCAAAGGAGGCAATCTGGCTAAGCTTGTCCCTGCCCGTCGTGCGGCGTCTGCCAACCCAGACATGAGCACCAGTGATCTTCATCATAGCTCACCTCAGGCTAGGATTAACAGGCCACTAACTCCCTGTAAAACCCTCCCCCTGAAAGCCACAGTGAATTGGCAGTGTACAGGCAGGCACAAACTGCAGACAGATACATACACATAAAAATACATAGAGGAACACAGATCCTCAGACATCCTCCCGTTACCTCCTTGCTTTGCCCTAAAGGCTACTACAGTTGCAGCAGCTCTAAGTCAGAGTGAAACCTCTCTCAAAGGATGGGGAGTGGCTGGGTTTAGGGGCATTCACTGAATGTACCCCATCCAGCGAGTGGCTTGTCCTCTGCAGCAGAGCAGCCTAATTACAGTGGGCTCTGCTTCGACGGGAATAGAACTGGCTGCCAATACTATTGATAATTCACACAGACTAAGCTGTCGCAGGGAATAGGGATGGGCAAGTGGAAATGACTCAGTTTTATTAGCTTCCACTGCCCTTTGATGTGCAGTCAAGAGCAAGACATGCCAAGATACTCATGCCAGATGGAAGCACTACAGCTGAAAGGTGTCTCAATCCTTTTAACATAACTCTTTTTGCATGTGAAACCTCGAACGATAGCTATTAGTCTGACATAGCCAAACATTTCCCCACAATTTATTTCACCATGTTTTATAACTTAGCTGGCTCGATATGAAGAGGCTGGCTGGTGCTGGGCAGCAGGGAAAACTATGGGGATTTGTGGACATTGTCATAATGGGCTGCAGCTTTAAATCTATGGACAGAGGTGCCACTAGAAAATTTAGGCCCCTTAACCAAGAGCTCAACAAGTCTTTTACAAAACATTACGACAATCCCTGCTATGTTCCAAAGCTTTGACGAAGGACAACATGGTGTTTACAAAGGGATTTCATACCTCAACAGGCTCAAAACAACACAAAAACAGATAAAGTTCAACTCTTTCTCACCTCAGGCTTCTTGACTCGGCCCTCCTGGAAGGAACATGTGCGAGGGTCATGGGTGCAGTCATGTCTGTATTTACACCAGTGGCATTGGTAGGGGCTACTCACACATGAGAGACAACTAAAAAGAAGAGCAGCGGGCAGACAGAGTTCTGAATTAATATTGACCTTCAGCTAATACACTGGAGAACTAAAGCTCAATATGCCTACTTAGTTATGTATACAATACAATTTCAACGCTGCAAGTATTGATGCAAGTTTTTTCATTAATATAAAGGAATTAAAATTGCGACAAGGTATCCGCTAGCGAGTTCCAACTTCAAATGTCAAGGGAGAGAGACAAAATCCGACTTCAAATGCTGCATATTTAGACCCATCTGGTGAAATTTTTTGCTTCTAGCATTCAGAAACCGGTACAACAAAATAAATGGAAATTACATATTGTTGTATGCTATTATTGAAGAGCCTTTAAAAGCTATTAGTAGACAAAGACTTACGATTTGTGCACGCTGCAGTTGTAGAAAACAAAACTGGTATTTGCAAATGCCAGGCCTGTCTCTTTGGACTTGAGATAGAGCTGCACAATCTGGTGGTCACCTACAGAAAATAGAGCATAGTCAAAATGAATGGTTGGATGCACACAGATGTATACAGAATGTTTCATGTTGCAAGAAAACAGCAAGACAAGGGTACAAAGAATAAGAACTAACAGAAGCAAGAATTGCTTTTGCTTCAGAACACATTTACTGAACCCATTACTGACAGTTTCATTCAACTCTAGAAACAAATAGAAACAAAACAGTATTGTAATAGTAGCGTGTCAGAGCTACTTTTCTAGCACAAGCAGCACAAGCACTTTTAAAGAACCCCGGCCTATATGATAATCATTTCATTCCCTTGTTCAAATATCCTTTCTTAGTGTCGAGTCACATTGGATTTTCCCAGAAAGAAAAGATAACTGCACCGCTCGGAGCCACAGGTTGTTGCATCGGTAAAGGCAGTATCTTAAGAGAGGGAGAGCAGAAGGGTTTTGTTGGGTTAAGTCTCCCTATTCCTGCTGCCTTACAAGAAACAAAAGTTGGTGCACACACGCATTTCCCCTGGGATGGACAATATTACCCCAGAAAAGTCTTTGAGAGTGTCTTTGACAAGGTAAGGGAGAATAAAATGAAACAGAATCCATGTGTGTGTGTGTGTTTGTGTGTAAGTGTGTGCGTGTATGAGAGCTTGCGCCTCATCTGTATTTGGTGTGTCCTTTTGTCTGGCACTAATGAAGGAGTTCATGTTTAATTCAACAGCACATCCACACATCTAACTGCTCTCTCCCTACACTACCTTCGTACCTCCCTCTCTCATCCCCACTCTATCTCTATACACAGGTCTCTTCACTTCCTTCCACTCCGCGACTCCTTCTTCTCCCCTGTGTCTCTCTCCATCTCTCTAACAAAGAAGGAATCATTCATCAATCACAGTAAAGCACCGATGACAACGGATCTGTCCTAATTAGGCCACCTAAATGTTACCTTGAAGCCTGCTAACACTATCTATCCCTCCCTCTCTCTTCACTCCATCCGTCGCTCTCCCTTTCCTCTCTTTCAGCCGAGCTTAGACTAATGAGTACTAGTGGAAATGGAAGAGGAAAAATTCAAATATGGGAAATATTTTTCGCCACTGAAAACAAGAAAGTATATTTGCGGGTGTGGGAAAGCAAAAGATAGCGAGAAATGCTTTGTGCCTCATTTGTGCTTGTCTCAGTGTACATATTGACACATCTATGTTTGCATGACTGCAGCATTATCAGCTTTACATGTGGCTGACATGGCAAACATTAAACAAATGCTTTTAATTCCCCAAAGCACCCTCAGGCTCCCTGTCAGCTGTATATCTGTACATGTCTGCCTGTGGATTACTTTATTGTACTGTTGTCATGTGTTTGTTGAGGACAGTGTATTTATGTGCGATCCGTCGGTTCTTGTGGGTGCACTGAATGAATAAGGAAGATGTGAATATCTGTTTATGTGTGCAACCGAGACTTGAAAGGTCTCACCAGCACTGCAGTAAATGCTGGTCTTCTCACTTACAAGCACCTGCTGTAGCTACATGTTTGGCTTTTAGATTCAATATCTAAGCAATATATAGATAATGTTTTTGCAAATGACACACAACAAGTGAGAACTTCATGGTCATCAGAACTTAAGAGCATTCCTGTACATGTCAATTTTAAGTATTACAGTTTTTTATTTCTTTTTCTTCTCTCTTTCTTTTTTTTTGTGAAAATATGAAAGAGTGGCATTTTCATTATCTCAACATGAGGACAGTTAAGGGTTGGTGGTGAAGGATTGCCTGCCTGTGGACAGACCTTCCCAGATGGGAGCTTTGTTCAATTAGACCAGCCAACCCCAGAGAGAGGAGGTGAGGCGCAGGGGAAAGTAAAAGAGAAAAAATAGTTTCCTTCTTTGCATGTGAATGCCTACTGTCAGAAATGTTTTAACTGAAAGCAATAGAAACGGCGACACTGTCTGTGGGGGGCTGTGTAATCCCCGGGCTCTCTGTTAGCGGCAATACTGTAGTAAGAACACTTGGCTGTGCAGATTGATATTCTCCTTTCTGCACTGGGGTTAACTGGGGTCCCATCACTCCCTCTGGAGTATATTCGCATTGAAGGAGGGAGGGTAAATAAAAAATCCCACCGCATACTAATAACTAATGTTCATTCAATTACTAAACATGTCCTACGGCAGTGCTCCGAGGCCTGCTGAGTTAGTGTTGGCAACGAGAAAACAAAAATTCACGGAACACTTATTGCCCTAGGACGAGCATGCTGCTGACTGCAGGTGAAACATCTAGATGAATGTGTGCTTTCGTGAAAGACATGCATGCTTGTATTCAACAGGTGCTCTAACGTTGAGTATTAGCGGTTTCCAGCAATGGGTTTTTATACATAATTCTCCTATTATTATGGCTTGGCATCGTCTAAATCACAGGCTGTCATATCAGGTACCCTGACATGATGTTTATGGCATGCACCACTAGATCGCATCGAATCGTATTTGTCTTGATCACAGTTTTGTTGCTTTTTGCCCTTTTACCTTTGTCAACAATAATGCGTGGCATTTCCTTTTCAGCAGGGGAGGAACACTTGATCCGGTTTCCTTCCACCAAGCCATTCATCTCAGCCAGGTCCTCAAAGGTGCAGTTGACACCAGCAGAAAGTTCTGGGACATTATGGGCTTCCAACACCAACTGTAGAAAGGAAAAGATAGAAAAATGTCACAAGTTCCGTGCAATATCATAGCACACGTTTATTTATTAGTTAATAAGTAATCGATAAATGAAAATATCTTAGAAGAATAATCAGTTGAGATTATGAAAGTAATTAGTAGCTGATAGCAGCAGCTACAGAAAACAAAAGTAGGAAGGATTCAGTTAAGTTTAAATGACTTCACATACTCAATAGCAAAACATCACTCATCAGTTTAAAATGCCAGTGATGAAGCATGACATATAGTTGCCCCCGTGGTCAGAGATAAACAAGTTCGATGTGTGCCCAAGCAGTTATATGGCTACAGTTCTGACACATCTGTGAGCACTTCAGATCGGTTTCGGAGCCAGCATGTTCTTCAAATATGACTGTAACACAATATTGCTGAGGAGAGGAACAGCTGCAAGTTCTGTGCAGAGTAAAGATCCATCTGCAGAGTGGTCAGTGGCCAGAGGAGCCTCTAGGGGATTCTTGAATGAGGCATCAGACGCATATCCTGTCCAGATGTCCAAACAACATCAAAACACTCTGATGCAGAAAGACATAGATTGATTTAAAACTGAAATCAGTGAATCTTAATAGGCCATATCTGATGGTTGTGAGCACTACTACCTTTCTTACCACCTCCTATTATACCTTGTCGAATGTACAAACTGTTCAGATTTCACATCTCACTTCAATTTTCTGACTCCCTGGCTCTGTGAGAAATAGATGTTTTGAAGGAACATATTTGATATATAGAGAAAGAAATTATTTAAAAGCAAAACTTAAGAGTATGTGGAAGGATGAGGAGTTAGAAGAAATCGAACAAGCCAACTGAAGGTAAAAAGCTGAAACTACTCTAAGTGTGGGATGAAAAGAGACTGTGGGTAAGAGGAGGAAAGTGCTAGCAGGATGACCGAGGTGAACAAATGAGGCAGTGAACAATGAAAGAGAGGAGAAAAGTGCAGGCATGCAGACCGCTGGACAGCAAGGAAAAGGGAACTGGAGGAAATAAAGAATGCAAATTTTCCCACTTCATTTGGAAATGCTGTGTAAGCTCTATCTGCACCTCAGGAAAAAAATGGCTTCAGGTGAAGTAAAAAGAAAAGAAAAAAAAACAAAACAAAACACTGTCCTTGAGTGAAAGGAGAAGAAAAAACAGGGTAGTGGAGGCAGGTGGAGTAGGGTCAAGACCAAAATATACATATTGATGGAAAACTGTGTCTGCAAGGGGGCCTTGGTCTAGGCATTGATTTGAGGCGTAGCCCATAGTACACTTGTGATGTGACGCTGAAAGCTGCCTCAGCGGCACAGAAGGGCTGACCTGCGCTGTTTTTATATTGCTGTTTAATGAAAAAAAGGCAGCGGCGGTGTGAATAGACACACAGCATCCCGCATAAGATGGACAGTGCATGACGGGGCTTCGATCTCTTACACACTCTGCCTCTCACCTTCTTCATCTCTTGCTTTTATTTTTTTTTTTTCTTTTCAGAAGGAAATGCAGCCAAACATAGAATTTCCTCAATTACATTTATTGTAGCCATGGGTAAGCCGAGCCACAGTAGTGCTGCATAAATAGGAAAATAACATACTCATGTTAACAGAAACATCCTTTACACATACACACACACACACACATACACAAATGGTCTCCTGTGGTTTATAAAGCACCATGTCTAATGCCGAGAATATGTGATGCTGCTCATGTTGCCATGGTGAAAAAAATATCTTAGCTGCAGAGAGAATTCATTCAAAAGCAGTCTGATGCCACAAAAAGGGCAAGAGAGGAAAAACATTTGACTTTAGCTTTAGATGTTCGTACATTAATTATAAAGTAAGTCCTAAATTAGCTATGAACACCATTACTCACATTGTACACGTGCCTAACTTTGACATAACTGATTGTAATGTGTAGAATCATACTAATGGCACACTTACTAATGACTAATTCCGCTATGCTTTCTGTAATGATCACATATTTTCTACATGCATACAGAGACAATTCTTTCTGGGGCTCACATTAAAACCTTTCATGAGTGACCAAAGAAGAAAATTATAAGTCAAAGGAAACAATAGCTTTTTTCTAGAATGAGTCTGACTTCAGCAATGATGTGTCCTTGTTTCTCTCGAGAGTTCCTGTGCCTTATCTTTCCAAACAAATATTTAATAACACAAAGGTCAAGGAGGAGCCCCTGTCTGTCTGGCGGTATCCTCTGCCCAGCATTCAGCTGGATGGAATATGTGTGGCAAAAGGTTAAACACTCTGAAAACTCTGGCTTGAGAGAGTCACACACACCCATGAATATCATTAGAGTGATGCAGAAGTATACCTCTGAAAATCAACAGCTCACATGTGACCCTCTGAGCAGCGCAGACGGAGGAAAGTCATTCTGGCTTGACTTCAGAAAACAATATTTGATATTTATGCACTTACTTGGTCTATGAGAGTCAAAGCCATCTCCATGCAACCATTAAACGGGAAATGTGACATCACTTGGCAGTGTTTAAGATCAGTGGGATATTCATAACATTCAGTGTTAGTACCTTTAAAATGGGCGATCTTTCAATACAATGAGTTTCAAAGAGAAATACAGTAAGCCTTGAAAGATATAGAATAGCATAATGTGTTCAGGCAATGTCAAGTCTTCTGCTTAACACACATAAAGCCACTTAAAAATATGAGAAGCCATTTATTCCTTGTCCCAATAAAAGAAATAGCAAATCGAAATGGGCTTTTGGCCGGGGTGAAAGCTGGTGCAGTGTAAGGGGACACAGTGAGGAAGCAACCACATGTTTCCATTTAAATGATTTCAATTAAACAGTCAAATCAATTAAACAATAAACAATAATCAGCATAAAGTGTATATGATACCTGTGTATACAATAGTCTCTCCTGCCTCTCTATATGAATTCAACCACATGGATCATGTACTCTGCTAAAAGGTGGAGTTACAAAAGTGAAAAAACAACGATCCGAGTGCTTGTGTTTCTCCAGGTCCTGTAGAGACATATTTCAGTTGAAATGGATCACAGCTCCTTGCACACTAATCAATACACTTAAACAATCAAAAACAATTCAGACCTTTTAAACCTGGCAGCTGTTTCAGAATGAAATGTCCAGGGGGAAAAGTGCTGCATTTAGCTGCCAACAATCACAATAAACACAGCCGAGCTAAACTGGATGCTGTTAATGATTGTTGACATTTGTTGAGAGTGTATTTCACTGGACAGGACTGTAAGTTGTGAGGTCAGGATTTGAAGGATGCATGTTGGCAGGCGGTAAAATGATATAAAGCAGGATTACAGAGTGAACACTGGCTACTAATCAGTATTTAGAGCATAATTACATCATATTACAAATTATGCTTGAGAGTGTGATATTGTCAATCTGCCAGACAAGATTTTCTCACTAGCAACATATTCAGCTATCCACACTATTTAATGCAATGTGGCTCCACTAAGACAAATGGTGTTTGCTTGCCTGAAGTGTTTTTTGTTTTTTTTTTCTTACTGAAAGAAAAATATATTGAATGACTACTAATTAAAAATTGGCCACATTTTATCTCCGAGTGGCACAAGAAAGAAGCACGCAAAGTTAATGACGAGCAGTATCTATTTTTTTGCGAGGAAAAGCATCATGAGTAATTCTTGATAGATAACGCTGTTCATTTCAAACCTCTAAACAAGCCATTGTTGCTCTATGATAGTACATGATACCGTGTTATTATCCACTCACCGTGACACTAAACTGGGACACTGATATGTTGTTCGGGTGGACGCTGAGACGCACACACTGCTTGATGTCCGATGCAAAGCGTCGGGGCTCTGATGAGCGCTCGCATTTCTCCTTTCTGGCGCACCTGTTTAAAACACAAGAGAGGACGTTATTCATGCGTTACAAATACACACACGCACACATGCACGCGCACAGTAACCTGATCAAGGCTTATCCCTTTCCACCTGTTGGCATCTGGGAAAAAGAGAATGTCCCTCCCCTCCCTGACAGGTGGCGTTAGGCACATTTATCATATTTCCTCTCTGGCAGTCTACCAGCTACAGTGGTCAGTGAATGGAAGCTCAGTCACCACAGGGGTGGGAGCAGTTGCATTTAAGACAATGCTTGCTCTATATGTGGAAGTGGAGCCGGCCAATTGGGAAAGAGGTAGGCCTCGTCTTTGTAAAGCCGTCTTAATGACTGGCATTCATGGGCAATGCCATACGCAGGTGGAGATGTGGATGTTGGTGGGGGTTAGGATAGATTACTCCCCCCTCTGAAAACCAGACCAGGTGGTCTAATCCAGTCCATTACAGCGGTTTGGGGAGATGGAGGACCGGACCCTTTGTGCACTAAGAGGAATTTACTGACTCCTGTTCCAAATACTATCCCTTGATAGACTGCAGGGTCATTCATAGCTGGAAGATCTAAATGGGTTTGCAAGAGAGGCTGTATGAGAGCTGCAATTCATTGCCACCAAAACCCTTGCAGTGAAGAGTTTTCACCCTAACTATTTCAGGAGAACAAACTGAGGGAGTTGTTGATAAATGCATGCGTGGTGAGAAATTCTGTGAGAAATAAACCAACCCAAACTGTGATATAACCTCAACCTTCTCTAGACACACACACCCGCACACTCTTGTTCTCATCTAATCCCCTCATAAACTTATTCAAGTTTAATCCCCTATTGATTTAGACAAAAACTTGCAGTGCAATTAGCAACCTGGCAAATCCACAGAGTGCCCTAAAAGTTCTTTGGAGAAATAAAAGGCTGAAAAGAAAGGAAGAGGTCATAATGAACGAATGAAAGAAAGACTTTCGAGGTGGTTGACGTCTGAAATACTGTAATACCTTAGGTGCAGAAAGAAGCTTTTTCTCCTGAATTGGAGCGATTGAGGGAGGGTGGGTTCTGACCTGACATGAGCATTGTAAAGTTAAGCAGCCTAACGTGCTGCTAAGAAGACAGACATAAAGAAAACGAAAAGAAATAATCTGTTTGAGAGAGGGAAAGAACAGGAGGAGGGGTAAAGACTGCCGGAGAGAGAGGGGAAAAGAAAGCAAAAGAGAGGCAAGATTTAGAGGAATGCAACCATTGTTGGCTTTCTGTGAAGCTTTCCCTACTAAGCCGGTTTGAGTAGGGGTTTAATCACTTCAGGTTCCTTTGTGCTTTTCTATCACTGATGTCTGTGCCTCCTTTTCCAGCACTGATTTAATAAGACCGCATCATATAAGTAGCCTCCAGGCAAACAACCCACATAGAAAACCCACAAATGCACACTTTAACCTACAAATATATATATAATAGACATACACACTCAGTTTACTTCCTTGAATACCCACAGGTCTGTTGTTTACACCTAGGGAGAAGCAACACTGTAAGAAGATGCTCAGAAATACAGTGTGTAAATGTTTGCCAGGTATGTGTTTTGTTTGTGTGTGTATAATTAGGATTGTGTTTGTTCCTTGACAGTGTCACTGTATATTGTATTTTGGTAGAATAACCTCACATTCCATGCCAACATGACTAGCTGTATCGCATTATTAGCGTTAACTGGCACAGTCCCTGTAAGTGAATCATCACTATGGGTGTCTGAATCATGACTGAATCATAAATGAAAAAAATAATAAATCAGTGAATAGAGGTTTAAACCACTCTGTCAATTCATCCGTCTCTTTCTTTCCCCATCGCTCTCTCTCTCTTTCACAAATGCAAACACACAGTTGCACACAGGGTACAAATACATACATATAAATGTAGTTAAATGATTCCTGGGAGATGGTGACGTGCCTGACAACAGGTAATAAAAGATGTTAATATAAAGGAAATACAACGGGCAAAGTAATAGATACTGACAACAATAAATGAATATTAAACCCATATTAAACGCATGCAGCTGCCCTCACGTTAGCTTCAATCAAGTACTGTCACATGAAACTAGGAATATGCAGAGGCAGATACACGACAAGAAAAAGTGCTCGGTCATTAATAACATAATTTCTCAACTTGAAGTCTTTCATTGTTTAAATGAGATGCTATCAGTTCTAATCTACTGCTTATTTTTGATTATTTATATTTGTGTTGTTTTGTCTTGATATTTGTTTCCCTGCTGGTTGTCTTTCACCACTGCTCCACTAGCAGCTATAACACTTGCAGTTTTAAACAACAAGACTGTCAAAGATCTTACATGTGTGCAGTGGAATATGAGTGCATCTTAGTTAATTAAATGTCTTGTTTTTCAAGGTTAAGTTTAGGTTAAACTTAGACTAAAGTGAGATTTAGGTTAAGATTAGGGAGTTGTGTCATGTAGTGTTGTGTATTCTGCAAGACTGGATAAATTGGAAATGAAGGAAGATGAAAAACAGCGGTCTCATCGGATGACGTAAAGTGAACAAGACATGCTGCAAAGACTTGTTAATGTCGATCTCCTACAAATAATGTTGTTTTTTTTAGGTTAAGTTAAGTGTGTGAGTCACACTGTACACTGTTTATGAGAAATAATTACTTTGGCCAAGATATGCAGCCCACAAGTTTTATCATCTGCAGACATTTATAATGTCTCTTAACACAGTTACAAGACAACAAGACATAATGAGGAAGTGTGAGTGAAATAGTGCAACAGCAAGTCCTGGTATAGCTGGACCGGGGCCTGTTAATATAGTATCATTAGAGAGCTTATATCACTCTGCTCTAAAAAAGTGGACAGGGGGCAATTTGTTTTACTTGTTAAGCAGATGTGCAGTGAATGTGGATTTTTTTCTTTAAAGACAAACACCTTCACTGAACTGCAACAAAGTACATCAGTCTCAGGGAGGAACTGTGATCCCAAACTCTTATGGATTAACTTCCTGCTCCTATTGAGCATATTTCTATTCCACCTTCGTATTTTATACTTATATCAAACTGGACACATTTGCAATTTGTGACACCATTATTTTCTAATAAATGACTACGAGCAGACTTCCTTCCCCACTTCCTTATGCTCTCCTCTAATGCTGTTTTTTCACTGTTACAGTTGCAATCTCTGAGTCTAACGATGCTGGCTTCTCTCTGTCCTGCTGTTATTACAGATATACATACAGGCGACAAATGAGAGGAAAAACTTGAACTTCTGACCCCTATAGTAAGAGGATCTGGTGGCTTTGTTATTCTGGGGGAAGGTTGGGTTCACTCGTCCCTTGAGAGGGAAAAGTCACTGCAAATCAATGTAATGTTTCTCTGAATGACCACTTTTATCACATTTATCCTATACTTTAACATTTCTATCCTGATGGCAATGACAATGCTTCCATCCATACAGCAGAAGGGGTCATTAAATGGTTTGATGAGTATGAAAATAATACATATAATTTGTTATGGCATATGATTCAGCCCAACTGAACACCTCTGGGAGAAGATGGATCTGTCTGTTAGACAGCACCAACTCCTAAATAAGGCACTTAATGCTAGTTTTTCCTTTAAATTGCCATTTGTCTGTATCTGAGCTAGCTGGCTGGTCTAACTTGTTCATGCATTTGCCTCTTCCATCATCTGTTGTTTATGAGAAATATTACCAAGAATGTAAATATTGAGCAAACAATGACATTCGATATTTTAAAACACTACTGTACTTGTCTAGACATAGAAGTCAAACCACATGATGTACTGTAGGGAAAAGCCCTGTTCCAAGGCAGAATTTTCAGCCGTTAGTGTCGGTGTCAGAGGCCGTCTTACTTCTGGAACACAATACGGAAGTTGCAGCTTCACTTCGGTGCTCTATACCGCAGACCTGCAAAAGCTGTAACTTTCATCTTATCGGAGTCACAAGTTCACCGACTTGCTGGGCAGGATGAAAAAGCCAACAAGTCAAATGATAAACCTTTCCATCACAGACAGACAATGCAGAGTCTGTGACTCAGCAGAAGTGGGAAGCTTCTCTTCTCTTCATCTCTGTATCTCCCTAAGGATGGGTAATGGTACTGCCGTATAGGGTTTTCTCATTCGATTCATCGAGAACACTGCTGAGACACAATCGGAGGGCTACGCCAACAAACACAAGGCATTCCAGTAAAAAAAGAATGCTCCTGAATCCACCTTTTGTGCAGCACAATCCAATTTCACCCGCCAACACACCGTTAAACAGACAAACATTGAGATGGAAGAAGACCGCTGCAATGATAAGTTTTCAGTCATTCAGTTTAGCTTAAAGGAGGAACAATTGTGTGGTGTTTTGCCATTTGAAAAGCCTTCACACTGTTTTCTCTGGTAGTATTTCCTCTGTCATTTGCACACTGAATCAAAACGTTCATACCATTGCAGGAAACACCCCTTCCCTTCGTTCTCTGATAGTTGAGAAACCTACTAAGAGACTAGTGGCTGACTAGTTAACAGATATGCATTTGTCGTGCATCCTCACCGAATCTCTCGCCAAAGTGCAGGACAGCTACACATGCTGATTTGGATTGTGTCCACACCACAGTGAAGGACAGTTTGTGTAGCTGCCCAGGCTGACTTGGTGCTTCAGTGAAAGGATGCTGAAGATAATACCACACACGGTTTAAATGATGTAAGAGGTGGGCATTATCAGAGCAAAGCACTGGATAATTGTTTTCAATTACCATCCACACAGACCTTAAAAGAAAAACAGATTGCATCGTTTGTAACAATATGTAACAATCCCCCCTTTGTAAACAGCAAAGAATAGAGTGTTTAGGGAACCCCAGAGATCAAAGCGATTTAGATTTCAAATAACAGTCATAAAAAGCCTGACTAAGGCTATCTTTTTAGCAGAGAATTAGATGTCCAACATCTATTCATTTGGTTAGTGATGCTGCTGTTGTGCAGAGCTGTTTGACTGACTGGCAATGACACATTATAAGAGAGCGAGCTGAAAGGATTAGATGAGCCCTGAATGAAAACT